GGAAGACGACTTTAACAGTGGGCTAAAGCACTGAGTTCAGGCAGCTTTTTTTTTTTTTTTAGCAACTTTAGTTTTTAGGGTAAAGTTGAACCTTTTCTGATAAAGGAGCTATGGTGAGATCTTACAAGTAAGCTTTTCAAATTTTTTTATGTTTATTTTTACTTTTTAATGTAATCCTTCATACAGGGCTGTACCAGAGGCAGTCAAGTTCCCTTTGATGATTAAAACAAAAAGCCAAAGGTCGAACAGAGACAAATTTTTGCAAGCTGCAGTCTTTACCTGTTGTCTCTGGCAGGGCTGTATATCTCATATGTGGCTCAGTAGGTGACTTCACCCCACAAGTTTTGAAGTGCAAAGCCCCCTTCCCATGCTTTTCAACTGTGCCCCAGAAATTCCTTGTTCTTAGTTTTGTTCAGGGCTTGCCCATCAGGTATTTAATATAAACCTCAAGCTAAATAGTAATGCAAGTCCAGTCTCCCTATACTGAGACATGTTGTGTGTCTCTCTGATAGTTTTTTAGCATGTGGGAGTACTTTTGTGTTACTGTACAGAAAACGCTGGAAAACCTAAGGCTTCCCTTGCATACTGAATTTACTTATAATAAAAAAATTACCAAAATGGCAAATATCCATGTAAAGTCTGTCCTAGTATTAAAGAAGAAGCTATATCATACAAATTCAACTGCAGCGTAATCTTAAGGTCAAGTGGAAAAAAAACATTTGGTCTGTGTTTAAATTTTGGAGACGAAAGGAGTAAAAGAAAAAGGGAAAATGAAAAGAGGAAGACAAATAACTTTATATTTACTATTTGCTTCTTGATAGTTCTCACATCTACTGAGATGGATTTTACAGGTAAGTGAAAGGTGTTAGAGAGCCCTGGTGAAAATGCAGAGGTGCTCATGCTTGGTGCTATTGCCATATGCCGAGTTGTGCTATCAGGTCTACAGACTTGTCAAATTTCATACTCTGTGTGCAGCTTGGACAGTTTCTAGGTCTCTCCCTCACAGGTTGGCATATAATGGCTTGTTTTCTTCATTGTGACCCCACTTGTCAGGGAGAACTGTTTGATTTGATTTGTGATTTAGTAGAACAATGCAAGACACATTTGGTAGACTAGATCATGTCTCAGTCCTGGGAGAATAGTACAGACAGGTAGTATGGAGAAAATATTGATTGATAGGCCTAGATACAATACAGAAAAAGATGCTTTACTAGGATGTTGGGGGCCCTCCTTTCTCTCTGTGTGTGGGGCCATCGTTGAGTACCCCACGAGACAAAAGGTACCATACAGAGCAGAGCGTGTGTGGTAGGACCAGCACTTCCATCTTGGAGACTAGAAACTGTAGCCCACTGTGAGCCAACTTCTTCGCTTTGTTACAGCTGTATGTCTCCCCTTGCCTTCAGAGTAGCTCTGCAAGCATCTGAAGGTGCATCTGGCTCAACAACTGTGTAATGCTCTTCTTGCTTGCTTTTCATGTTACTTCCCTGATGCACAGCCACTAACTGTATTATTTTCTTCTGAAAAATCAGCCTGTGTTGAACACATTTACAGTGACTCTTCCTTTTATGGATGGTGTTCAAAGACAGTGTTTTGCTAAATTTGGACTTCATCATCTTCCTTAAGAGAAGGATGCAACAAAATATGTGAATTAGATGCAAATTGGGAGTCAGCCAATTTTCCAGTTAGATTATTTCAGTCAGCCTTTACAGAAGAATATGAACTTCCCAGTTACTATACATAATATAATCTAACATTTTTTGATAATTTTTAGAAACAGTGCAGAAATTTGTCATGTTGCTTTGGACGGAAATTAAAAGATGCTGTAGCTCTTTCCGATATCAAAACCAGGAGCATAAAGAGGAGGAGTGGACAAAAATAATAATACTCATATGGACTCAATTGCAAATAAAATTAAAGATAAGGAATCTTTTCATCAAGTTATTTAACCCATCTGTTTGTGATAGGCGCTGAACAAGGGAAAGATGTTACTTTTCCATGTAATATATTGTCATCCCTGGCTGCGTCACACACACACACAGCAGGACAGGAAACCTTCAGCAGTCAAGTTTTGGTAGCTGAGGTATTGCATCTTCTGCGAGAAATGGCTGTTGGCCAGTGAGGTCATCTGCGTGAGCAGCTGCAAAGCTGTTGGCCTCTGTTCCTCTCTTCTGACATTTAGTGAAGGTCTCAGTTAAGATCACATCTTTCTTTCTGGTGATCTGTAATTGTAGCAGCACCTTCTACACCAGTGTCTGTCAGTGTTTCTGCTATTAATTCCCTCTATTTTCCTGGCGTTTGACTTGGCTGTAAAAATTCAATCTTGGCAAATATGTGACATACCAAATCCGTGCTTATTAGTGATCACATACAAAATGTATTTAATCACTCTCCTGCACCACACTCTAAAAAGGTGGTGATTTAGTGGAAAAGGTTAGTGGATGTGTACCTGGATGCATTCAGTAACGTCAGGCTGAGTTCCTTCTTTACACACCATTCACAGAATCAAATTAAGCAGAATTCAAATTACGGAGTTTAAGAAAATAATAATTCTGTATTACAAATTTTTGCTGGGAAGTGGAGAATAGGTTTTTCATATTGCTTTGCATGCGTCAGTGATGTACATATGTTTTTATTCATGCAGTCACCAAAATAAACATAAAATTGGAGACAATGCAAACTTACCTGTCTGGTTTCTGACTTGTTATAATAGTTAAGAACAGTTTCATTTCTACCATGGGCAGGTATGAGGTAGGGTAATCAGTAAAACAGCAGGGCTATGCCCTGCCCTTTATTGGCAGTGTCTGCTTCATCTGACATCTTGTGAACCAGGAGAAGAGGTTGGGGGTGGGAGGGGGAAGCAGGTAAGAGAGACTTCTTTCTTTTCAGAAGAGTCACTTCTACCTCTTGCCCAAACACATGAGAAAATTTCAATAATGTAACAAGTTCTTACATTGCATGAGAGCTTTTTGTTTTATTTTTTTCTGAGAGGTAGAAACATGTGGTACCAACGTTATTCTGCTCAGTGTTCCTGTTTGTAATTATCTCACGCTTTTTCTTCATTACTCTACTATTGTCTATAAAGAGCATGACTTATCCTTATTGTTGGAGCTTTATAACTTTTATGTTTTGCTCTATCCAATCTGATTTTGTTTGTCTTTTTAAATTTGGAGTGAAATTTTCATAGGGACTAAAGTGCTTGAGGAGTCTGAATTTAATTTTCAGAAATGAGCTATGAATCAGAGTCCCATGGCAAGTCACAAAAAAAAAAAAGAAATAAAACTGCTGACTTCCCTGCTTCTTTTTTCCCTTTTGCAAACAATTTGACTTTTCCTTTGGTGAACTGAGTGTTTTGGGTTTTGCCGGGACTGTTAGCTGTGGAGTTTATTTTTGTGTTTCACTTGATTGCAATTTATTGTTTTGTTGCTCTGTCCCCTGGGTTAAACTTACTCATTACGTTGAATCAAAGGCACCATGCAAACAAATAAAATCTAATCTAATACAATATTCTACTCTAATGGATTCCTTACAGTCTCTCTTCTTGGCAATCATATTGTTCCTATCTTTTAAGCTTAAACAATGAAATCGAGGTGGTTGTTGCCCAAAAGGGTTGCTGTCTCCTTTGCCTTACTCGTATGTACAATGTCAAAGAAGGGTAGAAGTCATCTCTCGCTTTTCCAATAAAGTAATTTGTACCATGCAACTGGTTACTTTTCAAATCCAGAAGTCAATAACCCATGATAGATTATTATTTGAAGTAATAAGCTTACTGTGGCTAGACCCTGCATGACTAATATAAAAATACACCACAGCAATTGTTTGACATGATCCTATCCAGCATCTGTCTGTCGTGTAGCTAATACTTACAAACTATGTTTATCTCTTATATGTGTAACCGTGCTTCTCGTTTCCTACATCTTCATTGCCTTTACTGTTGTTGCTCTGTTAGACTCTCTTTTCATTCAAGTAAGGAGAAAATCATCTGAAATTTTGCTGTGTTTAAATTTTCTAATCCTTTTTTCTTTTTATTTCCTTGTTTTAACTGAGTTTGTTTCTTCTCTTCTGAAAAATACTCATTTCACATAATAACCAGTGTTCTTTTCCAGGGGAAATAACAGAATATTTTATTTTTATGTGACTTAAATGTCTTAAAGAGTTTTTTCTTTATTTTTGGATCTTCTTCCTGCAAATCAGTCAATTTGTGTTTCTTCTACATGTTACGTATCTCCCTCAGAGTGCTGAGAAATTAATGTACAGCAGTCACAGTAAAATACAGCCACACTTTTTGTGCCTTCCTCTCCCTCTTTCCATATCATTCAGGCATTTGACCTTCATAGGGGAAGGACATTTATCACCAGCACCATCTAGCCATCTGTTAATATACTTGTCCTCCCTGGTGCACGTTCTTGTAAACGGAAGCATTATGGATCACTTTAGGCTTATAGCCCAAGTAAACAGTTATGAAGGGTGTTGATGGTAACTCAAGGACTCATACACAAGAGTGTTGCAGTTTGTAACATGGTTAAAACAGGAATCACAAATCACTCTTAATAATATTTTATGTTTAGTATCTCAAAAATGCTTCTTTCTTCATGTCTCCACCGTGGTGCAATTATCCACGCCATTCCCACGCACAAGGTAGTCCTGCTGTAGCTCTGGTGCTTGCACTTATGTCGGTCTCCAAAGTTTTAACACAATCATGACCATAGGCAGAGAATTGGGATGTTTATTAGAGGGGTTTATAGCTGTGAAGTGTTGGAAAGGTAAGCGTGTCTGCTCCAAGGCAGAGCCTCCTTTGTGTGTGCAAGAGCAGGGCTGCAGTGCTGTCGGCTGTTGAACTGCAATGCAGGAGGTTGCCTTGGGTGCCTGAGTCTTCCAGCCTGCCTTGGTACCTTGGTTTGTTAATGGCAGGTTTGCCTTGCAAGAAGCAATGTTAAGACTATATTCAGCAGCACATTTTTCACTTCAAAGCCTTTTCCTGATTCATTCTTTCCAATCCTCAGCACTGATGGCTACTGCTTCACCATAATAGAAGAAGATGAGTCTGGTGGACATTTAGTCACCAAGGGATGTCTTGGGTTAGAGGGCTCGGACTTCCAATGTCGGGTAAGAAAGCATTTGCTGCCAGAGAATCACTTGGCTTTTTGATAGCTTTCAATTGAAGTGCAGTCAACAGACATTACTCTGCCCATGTTTTTCACTTCTGTTCATTTGGCAGATAGTTGTTCCACATTGATTGCTGAGGGGAGTGCATTTATATCCCTGAATGGTGATGTTATAGTTGCTCCTAACAATAACTTAAGTTTTTGAGTTTGGACTGCTGCTAATAGTAACACTCCCGTTCAGAGGAAGTTTGAATTTAGAGAAATGCAGTCTAATTCCCAAAGTCTCCATGGTAGCTGAAGCTAGTTAAGATGTTGCTGCGGCCCATCAAATAACCTTTATGTCTTTTACGCAGTTGCACTTTGGTTTTAGATTTCTGGTGCCAGAAATTCCCTTTGAGTACAGTGATCACCTGATGCAAATCTCTGAGTGCAAATCCCACTGCAGGAATGGAAGCGGTATGGACAATAGAGCACGGTGGCTCTAAAGCGTTTGGCTTTCCTAATGTTAATCATGAATGATTTTACATGAGTGCAAGAACAGTCTAACCATCAAGGTCCATGGGAGGTATTTTACCCAGCTTCCCATAAAAGCCAGAGCAGCAGCTAAATTAGTCCACACGGCAATACTGGTATTATTCTGGCTAAACTGTTTCAAATACTCACATTAACGTATTTTTGTAATGTAAGTCTAACTGGTGGACGTATGTGACTTTCACAGTTCTGTCTTGCACCATTAGTCAGTCAGTCCCTTCTGCAGCACTAGGGCACCAATACAAATGCATTAGGAGTGAATTAATCTCTTAATTATCTAGATTAAATGTTGCTGGATATGCTCAGTAGCAGAAATCTTTGCTCCACACATCCTAGAAATCTGCAGCAGACTGCAGTCCAGACAACAAGCACATCTTTTTCTCAAGTGCCAGTATGATGTTATATGTTTACAATACAGATAATTTATTGCTTTCTCTCAAATTGTTTCTTGCAGGACACTCCTATTCCACACCAAAGAAGATCTATCGAATGTTGCACAGGCCAAGATTACTGTAATAAACACCTTCACCCTACGCTGCCACCGCTGAAAAATCGAGGTAAGGGGAAGTAGATCCAGTCCCAAACTGATCTTTTCCTTCTGTTGTTCTTTGTGCCTTAGGAAGAAACAAAGCCAAAACCAAAGCACCTTCCTCCAACTGCACATGATTAGAGAGATAAACTGCATTAAACAGTATTGCTGAATTCCTGTAGGTCATGTGGGGAGCGGTGCCTTGACCCGCGGCTGCTGATACTTACTATTATTCTTATTGCATGCATGCAGTGAGCACCAGATGCATTAAAGTCACGGGATATGATCCTAGCACAGACCTGATGCCTATCAGTGATCATCCCAAAGACGTATGTTAGTCATGGCAAAGGATGCTTCTTGCTGTGTATGTTTTTAGCCTGATAATAAAATTGAATCCTCTTTCTAGTCCCTACAACATGCATTACTGTTGTTCATAACTCCACACACATCTGGGACCAAGCCTCCAGTGGTTAATCAGTCAGTTCAAGTTGACTGAAGCCCATTAAGCTTTTCTTATTTGAAAGACCTGATAATCCAGCACTAGGACAATAGCTAGTCACTAAAGTGGATTTTCTACTTGAAAGATGTAGCTGAAAATAGAATGTAGGTAAGAACTCATGCACTGATTAATTTTTTTTATATGTTATTTGAGAATAAATGGACGTGTATTAACTTAGTAGATTTTGGGGCAAGCTTTGAGCTTTTTTGTTTGCTTGTTTAAACATCACTTTCTGAAAGTTGGCAGAACTATTTTGGCTGGATGTTGCAGAACACATTTTATAGAAGTGCATTCCTAAGTAAGTGTAAATTCATCCATTGTAAACTCTTGGCATTGGCAGCAATGACCAAGATTTGTGGTGGTCAGCATTGAGTTTAGTCTGCAAGAGTCAGCTCAAGGTTGCAGGAGAGTTTGTAATCATGGCATTCTGAACTGAATATTCAGATTAGTGTGTAGATGCACTCTTAGTTATGTAAACAGCAGATACTTACACAAATGCATGCTCAGAGAAAGCCTTCACTAGTGTAAGCTGTTCCCTTCACGCCCATGAAATTCTGCACAGATGGGCTGCAGAATCAGGCCTATGGAGAGTAGTATGTAAATATTTCAGTGTTTACTAGCAAGCCATTAAGTCAGCAAAACCTCATAAAAATCTGACTTTCAATGTAAGAGTTATGTACTACTTTGTTGGGGTTTTTTTAATTTTAAAAAGTTCTTTGGACTGAGAGAGAAGCTCTAAAAGGAAGTAAATATTTGTTCACACTTACTTAGTACATCAATAAATATCATTTCAGTATGGAAAACACTGCCATGTTTTCTTCTTGTTGCTGACTGAGTTTATTCTATGTTAAAACTACTTAAAAATACTGAACCAATGCCTAACACTAGACATCTGCCTTATTAAGATTTTAGTTATTTGGCAATGCTATATGCTGCTTATACAGAGAGCAATAAACCAAGTTTTTGGTAGTAGCAGAAATTGCTTGAATCGATGTTGGCTTTGCTCTGTGTGTATATGAGGTAAATAAAGCACCACTTGGGCACTGCAGTGGCAGACCCATTAAATAGTAGAGAGAATATTTGTTGAAAGAAAAATTTCGTAGAGATGGAACAGGATTCTCACTGCTCTGTGTTGCAGCATTGTTTATTTTAGCATGACAAAAAAAAAGGCAATGTATTCACTCAACATACTCTGAAGACTTTTGTTTGAAATAAGCCTCGCACTACTGGTATCCTGGTAGTATATTGTGGAAATAGATTTCAGGAGCTGCTTCATTAAATGTGGCTGGACAGGGCTGAAGTCATCACCTTTATTAAAGCCTCAAGTACATATATCATTCTTGGTGCCAGGCCTGTTTTAATTTGTTGTTGCTGTATTCTAGTATGAACACTCAGAGGGAAGCCATAGTTTGAACTGTAGATCTTCACTACAACCAGGTGCAAATGCTGTGTACAAATACACGCTACTGCCAGTGCCCGGTACTATGGCTGTGATCACTGTTTGTGTTAGAAACATTAGAGTAGGCTGTGATTGACTGAGTACTGTTAGAATTGTATATAAAATTTAACATAAACTGTAAGTACAAAGAAAGAGAAGATGAACTTAAAAACAAGCTTCTAGCAACAACCTTCTGAACTCTAGGATTCCATGAAAAATATGTATGTTCCTCCGCAGTTAAAAAAAAAAAAAAAAAAACAAACAAACAAACAAACAAAAAAAAACCAAACAAGCAAACAAACAAACAAAAAAAAAAAAAACAAAGAAACAGAAATTTGGCTTCTGATGAACTTATGTCTGAGGTCATATCTCATGGGAAACAATGTAGGGAGAGTGTCCAGCTATAAGTCAGAGATTGCTGAACTGCAAATTGACCTATGCACCAAGGTAACATCTACAGAGGCAAGTGACTTGTGTTCTCAGACTGCTTTTCCAGACCTGACATGCTGGAAAGTGGATTTTACCTGCCCTGTCCCATGAAAAGAAAGGAGGACTGCATACATGAAAGTGGGAGCTAGAAGAATTAACAGTGTTCAATGCAAGGCTTGTTAAGCAAGATGGAAGAAACAACAGCTAAGCCTAGGTTTTGAGCTCATCTCGGTACAGAACTAGCAGAATAAAATACCTCGGAGAAACCATGAATTCCTCGTCCCAGCTGTACATCTGTCTTATTAAGGAAATGAGAGTCATAATTGGGTCTGATACAACACCTCTGCTTTAAACAATAAAAGATATTCCTGGAAATCCCAGCAAAAGCGCAGGCTGAGACCAGTCGAAAGGAGAAATATGTCTTTACTGATTTAGAGCCTATATAAGCAGAAGTGGTGGTGCCACCGTGTCTGGCTCCCTGCCTGTAGAGCTAGTGATGAATGGGCAAGGGAATGATTGGAGGAATGATGGGGTTTGATGTGTGCACATAGGCTCCATGCCTCAGATTTCACTGCAGTTTTTACTTGGATAACCGTAACATTGTGAACTGGAGGGACCTGGGGAGGGAGGAGAACCTCCTCTCCCTTTGATATGCTGACTGCTCCCTTGAACCTGCTGGGTGGTGTTTTCAATCTGCCCCTCAGCACGGTCCTGCAGATGGCTGAGTGAGGGGAATGAGTGGTGGAGGAGGGGGAAATCACAGGGAAGCAACTGAGAGGCAGCTTGGTATCACTGAAGACCCTCCTTTTGTTGCTATCTCTCCCTTTCTGTACTGTTCACCACTGGCACCAGCATGCACCACTGGTTTTGTACAACATAAAACTGTTAACGTGCCGTTTGCCAGGCTTCACTGTTATCGGCCAGCTGAGGTATGTGAAGAAGCTTCCCAAACCTACCGTGTGTTTGTTTTGCTCTCCTCCCACTGTGCTCCTAGTAATCGTTCACTGCTGCCTCTGTGGAAGCTACTGCTTATTCTCATAACCCTGCTGCTTGGCATGTTGTAGTTGCCAAGTAACATAACACTAAAAAGCACAGCACTGGACTTCTTAAAGGATAGAGTATCTCCATCATGCAAACTGGCACCGACTGGTACCCATGACAGTCTTCACCACGGAACCTGCGAGCCAGTGATTAAGAGGACTCACAGCTGACTGCCCCATCCCTTCATCTGGTCAAGGAGGTGCCAAAAATAGTGCAGGGAACAGGAGGTTTGTCCTACTGCTCTGTGGAGAACAGCGTGGGCTGTAGGAGGAGAAAAGAGTTGGTCTCCAGCAGCACCAGCCTGGCTCAGTTCAGCAGAACAAACAGACGCTGCTGGTGTAAGAATGGGGGCATGCTTTTAATCTTGGGTTGTCCATGTGCCAGTGGGTTTATGAAGTCCTCAAGTGAGCAAGCAAATGAAATTCTGCCAAAATACTTTGAAAACGCAGGAAGTATTTGAAAGGTGAGACAATAGCTCACTTATCGTTGAGTATTGCCTCTCATCATACGTAGCCAAATAAATATCAAGACATATGGAAGTTATTCTCCTTCCCTGTGAGAGCCAGTTGCACGTCCGTGCTGTGCATAGTGAGCCACTACTAAAGCTATGCTAGCTGACACTGCCAGCATGGGGGGCATCACCTACTGCAAGAGCTGCAGTCTGCATCAGCCGCTCCCAGCACGGAGATCAAGGCATGTTCCTTTATATCTGGCACGCTTTCCTTGTGCTTGCTTCACGTAATTGCATTTCGGTACCAAAAAATTTTGCAATGTTGGGGTCTGAAGTTTGAAAGCTACCCAGCACTTCCCAAATGTCTTGTGGCCTCCTGGAGGGTCACACTGTCTTTATTTATTTTTCTGAATGGGAGAAGCCCATTAGAAACATGGAGCGCAGGGTATGGATCATTTAAAATGATCGGAATTTGAATAAGATTCCAGCATCTTCATTGTCCCTCTCCCAAATGTACGCACTTGGACACACACAGGCAGCATCAACAGTGGGTGCTTTACAAGTTCTGGTAGTGCGACACTTGGTGTCTCTATAAATGCGCAGACTTCCATGGCTTTGGTCTGGCATACACGTGTATGAGCAAGGTCTGAATTCCTCCATCTGTGTCTGACGTCAGCATTCATTATTGCTAAGCCCAAAAGCCCGACTTCCATTGTGGCTTATTCTGTGAAGTAGGAAAACCCTCACTGTGGACAGATACGTGGGTTTCTCCCAAGTATAAAAATCCCGCTGTATAGTTCTGTGTGCTGTGTTTACCCTCTCCTCAGCTGATGGGCTGCGACATCTTAAACTGTTACAAACCACACATTTTAGAGGGAAGTGGCTGGCTGACACAGGCTGCTTACGGAGGATGAACTAGAGCCCTTAGCCCTGTTGGGCAGCCATCGCCTTCACGAGAGAGGTCTGGATTCCCCGGTGGGCTCTCGGTTTCTGCTCGCAGCCCACTCGGAGTGGCAGGCCAGGTAGAAATCTGCTGCAACAGGGAGAACGATGGGCTTCAGTGTTTCCCTGATAGACATCGTGTCAGTGTCCCCTTTCAAAGGCATCGGCCGTGTCTTGAATGTTTACATTGTTAATGCTCCCGGAGCAAGTAATGGCAGGTTAAAACATGACCAGTGTGATCAAAAGGTGCGTTGGTTGGTAATCTGTTTGTAGTGGAAAGGGGAAGGAAAGAAATAGTTTGGGGGCAAAAACAGAAGGAGAAACTGGATCTTTAAAATAAAAGAGCCTGACAGTAAACCAAGAGTCCCTCAGGAATCTCCTTGTCTCATTACCCTTGTAAATCTGAAACGTAATAGTGCTGTTCCAGGATGAGTCGATACGGATAGATTTCTTGCATTTTACGATGTGTTGGGCATTAGCGTGAAAGATGCAAGACAGCAAGGCTGGGAGAGCGTCAGACAACATAGTCCTCATTTACATTACACCAGATAGTAACTTCGGGAGGGCGGGATGTGTGTCTGCATGCTGAAACACCATAATTTTGAGACTTTGGGGGGGGGGGTGGGGGAGGTTAAAGAAGAATAGTGCTTGGTTTCTTTGTTTTTCAGCAGAGGAGCGTGCATGAAGGTCAGATTCGCTTGCCTGAGTTGAGAATACACATTTGAAGATTAATGGGACGCTTTAAAGGAGAACGTGGGTCTCCCCTGTAAAGGCTGACTGAAACATTTTAATAGTTTTTAAATAACAGCATTTTCTATGAGTTACTTGACACATTTCATTTTCAAAGTGTTTTACAGAATAGCTGCTGGAAGGATAGTGTTGCCCACCAGCATAGGAAGGACTTGCTGGCACACAGGGCTGCTGTCGAGAGAATGGAGGGGAAAATTCCTGCTCAGGTGTTTCAAACAGGATCCGAGAGACGGATTATTTTGCAGTGATGGAAATAAAACTTCAAGGCCTCTAGTGGCCTGTCTTCTGGGGGGTTGGATGGTCTGCTGTGTCTTTCCTCCTAGGGCAAATGCAATTATTCATTTTTTTGTATTAACTGCTCAATGGGATGCTACTTAATAAGAGTGATTTAAGATAGAGGCAGTACTTTTTGTATGTCCTGGCTGATCACACAGACAGAGAGTCAGAGCAACAGATCTTAAGTGATTTTTCATTCTGAGCCAAACAGGGAATTGCAAACCAAGGTGATATTTTGCCTGAGTGAGGGTTGAAAACTCAAACACGCTTTTGGAGATGCCGGTTCTGCCCTGGACAGCAAGGGTCAAAGAGGAGGTACACAAAATGCCTGTGGAATCCGGAGGTGCCTCGCCCAGGACTTCAGTAGAAAAGAAAGGAAATTAACTTGTGCTTGCTGCACTTTTTAAGGCGTGTGTGTCTTTTGATACTGACTTTGTACCACCTCCATTTCCAAATTTACCACCTTCCTTGTTTTTTTCCCCCAGACTTTGCTGAAGGAAACATTCACCATAAGGCCCTGCTGATCTCGGTCACTGTTTGCAGTATACTTCTGGTTCTTATCATCATATTCTGCTACTTCAGGTAAATAAGGAATACTTTACCAGCTTCTTAATGTTCCTTCCAATGTTTATCATTTTAAAGACTTAAGAATTTAAAAAAATGGAATTAGACCTTAAGGAAAAGAAAAAAGAGAAACTGTAATTTTATGATGAGGAAAAATGTGTGGTTTATTCATGCTAGTCAAAGGTATAACTGTGTGATATCGTTCATATATCATCTTTTGCCCAACTTCCTAAAAAGCCATTCAGGTAGAAGCACAGATTATTCTTTACTGAGTCTAAGAAAGCCACAGGAGAAATTTTATATGGGGTAAATAAACCTAAGTCTTCTAAATGTATTTATGTGATGGAGAACTGATCATAAGAGTGAGAGGGTTATAGGAATGTAAGTAAATATGCCTAGAATGTTATCATAACCTACATACATTATGTTTGAATAATTTGTCACGTTTTTTAAATAGTCCCAGATCCCATAACCTCACTTCCTCTGGATCTTAAAAGACCAACTGCAGTCAGTAAAATAAAATTATTTACTTGGTCTGCGTTTTGAACATATTTAAATTTCTGAAATAAAAACACTTGGTTGCTTTGTAAACTTACACCAGGTTGCATGGTCTTTGAGTTTTATACTTAGACTTTTGATACTGAAGACAGATGCTAAAAATAAAACTGAAAATTTTGGGCAGTGAGTCCAGTATATTCCTCAGGGAAGCAGAGGAAGCTGTGAGTCTATAAATGAAGCAAATGTGAAGGACTATGTGCATTATTCATTGCACATGTGTTCATTGTACTCAAAGCTAATTTCACTTACATGTAAAACGGCAGATACAAACGCCAAGAGACCAGGCCCCGCTACAGCATCGGGCTGGAGCAGGATGAGACCTACATTCCCCCTGGAGAGTCCCTGAAGGATTTGATCGAGCAGTCCCAGAGCTCGGGGAGTGGCTCTGGGCTCCCTCTTCTGGTAAGGAAGCAGTATTCTTTTAATACAAGCTTAAAATGCAAACATTACTAGAGGGAAAAGACAAAATAGGATGCAAGAAATTATATTTATGTGTCCTCAGTTGTTCTTTTAGTGTTTTTTTCTCTCCCAGAACTGACAAGGATTTAAGCTGGAGAACAGGTGTTTTAGAAGCAGGAGACTTTTTTTTTCATGTAGAGTAAGACAAAAAAGCTTAGGGTTTTCTTCACCTCAGCTCATTTATTATTTTAGATAACATAGGGTAAGTACAGGCTAATAGATCTCACAGAAATTCATCAGGATTTAATTTTAATTTTTCAGAGATACGTCCCTCCTGTCTCCCCCAACCTTTTAGTTTGCAGTGATCCTATTACAGTAGATGTTGTCCAGTTTCCAAGTGCTACATACTATCTGGTTTTTGCCCACACAAGTTTTTTCTACACCCTAAAGAAGAAATAAAATGGGAAGTTAATTCCTTAAAATGAAGCAACAGGCTGAGTGGTTGGCCACAATCTGACTCTACTCAATTTGTTCTGGCAGGAGTAAGTGTTTAGAGTCTCATCTAAATAAAGTGCTGACTTTTTTTAAAAATCCAATTTTCTGACAATTAACATAGCTATTGAGAAAAAAAGACAAGCTGCCAAGTGGGTGCTGTGACTGGTGCTGAGCATGGAAAATCCATGGTCATTTTTCTCTTTTGAGAGAAACTCCATCATTTAGGTTTAGTCTTTAAAAAAGCTCTGCCATATCCCACACTGGTGTCCCTCAAGCAGCCATGGAAAGGGAGCGATCATGCTTACAATTTAGGATCATTCCTAATAGGAGCTTCCAGTTGATTGAATTGTGAGGGGTTCTTGCTTTTTTGCTTTTTTTTTTTCTTTTTTTTTTTTTTTTCCCCCTAACATCTATCACATCAAAGTCTTGGTCTGCGTTTGGTGCTCCTACATGTTACAGTTTCAGAAATTATATAATAATTTAGACCAAATGCAAGGAACAAGGAACGTGGTTGTTCTCCTCTGAGAAGATGTGTTCCAGCAGCCCCCCGTGGGCAGGAGATGCCCTGGGGCATCTCGTAGCAGCACATGTCTCAATACTTCGTCCCAGGGTGCTCTCGAGACAAAAAAGCCGGAGCAACCCTGGTTGCCACGGCTTGTAGTTTATGCCTTCCTCTGTCCCAGTGAGCTGGTTGAAGATGGGATCTGCGGTCTTACTGATGTCCCCAGGTCTACTCTTGCAGTGGACAGAAAAATTAACTTCTGCTAATTAACTGCTGTAATGGCCGAGGTGGCATCCCAACTGGGTGGTTGTTGAGTAGCTCTCAGAACTGTGCCAGTACTCTGTGAACCAGAAACCAGTCTCTCTTCTGCCAGTCCTCCTCTCTCAGTTCTGGAGACTTTGCAGCCACTGGACCATGTACTATTCCTGAAGGCACTCTTTTCCCCTCTCTGCCTATGAAAATGCATACATTTTTTCCCCAGACTTTCCCTTTAAGTAGTGATTTTCTGTGGAAGAGAAGAAAAATGAGAGCTATAATAAATCTTGCACTTGGTAATAGATGTTTGCTGCATTTCCCAGACAGCTACAACTGCTACAGGCTCACTAGAAATACACAGATTAATACCTCTGGGCCCATGCCTGAAACAAGTATATAGAAAGTGCCTGGCAATAATGCTCTAGACTTTATTGTGGAAGAGTTTGTTTTTAACTGTATTATTTCTTATGCAAAGACTGAAACATCCAAAGTTATTGTTTTGGCAAAGTAAGCCACAAATTTATTACAAAATGTCACTTTATGCTAAACAGTAATGTTTTCCTTCTGTGAAGAACATTTATTCTAATGGGCACAAGTACTGTACCAAAGACAAGCATTAACCAAGATTTTATCAATACTTTGACATTCAGCAAGCATTCTTTCTCCTGACCTGCTTGCACCTCTGGCAGAAAAAGCTTGCTGCAAGTCAAATGCTGCCAGTCAAATTTTAAACCACAAAAATAATACAGTAAGTTGTAAATAAAGGCTCTAAGCCAACAAACTGGGGTGCACAATCAAGTCTGTGCAGACAAGGAGAACCCCATTGGCCTTGACAGAGCAAGAAGTGCAAGTGAAGCTGTTGCCTCTGTGAATCCATATGCAAAGTTGGGAAGGAGATTAGACGCTGGGGACATTTATTTCAGTGGTCTGTATGAAGAGTTTGCTGAATTACAGTTTGGTCTCTACCTTTTCACTATTTTTTTCCTAATTCCTCTTCCAATTAATTTAGCTTTTTGAGGGACTGCATCCCAGTCATAGGTATGAAAATCTCTGTTCAAAATATTCAGGTTACAAAAGGTTGGTTTGTCTGAATTTTCATCTGAACACATTTAGCTGAACATCAGAAAAATAGAATGCAGAAAGTAGAAATAGTTGGTAATTAGATTGATTCCAGTCAGGGAGAGGAAACAAAGGGCCATGTAACTTTACTTCGCTGCTCACTAAGCTCAAGCAGCAAATTATACAGTTTTGATAAGAAATTAAAAAAACCCAACCCCACTCAGTGTAAATAATTCACATGAGCATATCATTCAGCATGCTTATGAAATCAGTCATCCAACAATTTTGATTAACCAATTTGTTTTAGAAATCATAATCAGTTAATGAATCAAGAAAGGGCTGAATTCCTTAAAATAAAATAAATTGCTCATAGGAAATCGTTTGACCAGTTCTAGCAAGAGGAAACCAGGTTAAGGCCCTTCACATAGCATTCTGCCGCCTGAAAACCCATAACAGAAATGTGTTTTTCATTTTCTTAATGTAATTTAATAAGGAACTTTTCATCATTAAGTATTATAATTCCATGTACTTTATGATGCCATTAGATATATTTACACAAATTAAGTTATTTGATATAACTGCATTATTGTTCAGGATGCATTTTTAAAATGGGCAAAATAGAAAGCAACAATGCTAAAATAACATTACAAAATGTTACAGCAAAATTCCAGTGTAATATAACTATTGTTCAATCACTATATGAGAATATAAAAGAAAATAAATCAATTTAAAAAATTAAGGCTAATCTCTGTTCTTGGCATTCACTGATGTTAATAAGAATTAATGGCACCGAAGCCACCATCTTGGAAGTCTAATAATACATTGCAGGGCTGACAAAATGGAATTCTGTTTAAATGACAGAAGAAGAAGAAGAAAGCTGGGACTTTTGAAATAGCTTTGCATTAATGCCACCGTATGTTTTTCTTCTTTAAATTGTCTAATATGAAAACCAGTAGTTTATATACAAAATAAATGATGATGGACCTTATCTAATAGGTTTTCAGTTCATCTTTGGACATACATTCATGCTGCAGTGGGGTTGTGGCAGTCTTGCTCTGCATTACCAAACTGGTAGTTTCCACTGGACCTCCCAGGGACCACAAATGAAGCACATGATTTTAAAAACAGGTTTTGATTATTTCTGTCAGCCAAGATTGCAAAAATATTTGGGATTACATGAAATGTGTTATGATTTCACAGAGATTCAGACAGTGCATGCTTGCTGCAATAAACTGCTTGAAAATTGTATATACAGGGTGGCAAAACCAAGAGGCCTCGAAGCTACATTTGTCCAGGTTTTGCCAACTGCTTGGGGCAGATGGAAAACTTGCATTGAAGGCTATAATGTTATTTTCTTTCAAAATCTTGTAAAATCCTACCAACTTAAAAATCATTAGCTGTGGATTGAACTGGCAATACTGAAGCTCAAGAGGGTGACATTTTAATCTCCTGTTATACTAGGGTGATGCCGAGTCAGACGTGTACACCAGTGGGTTGTGTTGCACCATCTACTTGAGTGTTTATTTGTGAACTTTTAGAAATATGTGATCCGCGGACATGCTCCAATCCTATGCGAATATATTAGTCCCCATTTGTCTAAGATTTTCTGGAGTCGTAAAAACTTGGTAAATGTAGAATCAGTCCATCTGCTACATGGAGTCTGCCATTTTTATGAAGGGTATCTGCAATGCTGCTGAGTACATTGATCTTATGCTACAGCTGTACAAATGGTTTGACTTCAGCGTCAGTTCACAGTACAGCCACTGACAAAGCTGATACAGCACTAGAAAGGGAAGATTTAAAGCTGTGCTTCCATATCTTTGCAAAAAAAAATTCTTATTACTATGTAATGATGATTATTAAAATTAATGTAGTCAGGTGGGTTCTAACTGTGTCAGTAGTGGTTGAGGTTCCTAACACCAAGTTTGTATTTGGAAATTATTAGGCATGGGTTTTTCAAGGAAGGTGATAGGAAGCTGCTCTCAGTAATTTTGCTAGTTTTGGAGTGCTGTTATGCTTTTAGCTCTTGTGAGCCCTAGCCTTAAGTCTCAGTGGTGTTGAGTATGTAACAAACATTCCCGTTTTAATTAAAAATGTGTTACCTAAGCCTTTGGAATTTGGTTTGGGTTGGGGTAGCCAGGCGTGTTTTCTGACAAAGCTTTTCCAAAAGTACGAAAAAAATTTCCACAAAGTGGCGACCTCCCACAGGAAAATAAGAATTTCAAGGTTAGTAGTCAAATGTTTCCTTTGTACAGACCGATTTATTTTCTCAAGAGGCCACGGTATGTTTTGGGCATGTATGGAAAGAAAGGCTTCTTCACAGTGGTGGGAATGGCCTCACCAGCGTTGCATGGTGGGGGAAATGGGGAGCACCCCCATTGTGAAGCTACACTGAAATCCACGACACAGTGGCTGTATATTGTCCTTCCCACCGGGCTTGCTGTGCGGGAAGGAGGCACAGAAGGAGGGAGGTGAACGCAGAAGGTTTTTGCAGGGCAAGTTGTAACCGCCCAACTGGTCATTTCACAGGTTCAGAGGACCATCGCAAAACAGATTCAGATGGTAAAGCAGATTGGAAAAGGTCGTTATGGAGAAGTCTGGATGGGAAAGTGGCGTGGCGAAAAGGTAGCTGTGAAAGTGTTTTTTACCACGGAGGAGGCCAGCTGGTTCAGAGAAACAGAAATCTACCAAACTGTCCTGATGAGACATGAAAATATTCTTGGTGAGTGACATTCCAGAGAATTATTTGATAATGTACAGGTTCCTTAAGTTTAATAATTTTGTATTTGCTGTGGTCTGATGTCCTTTCCTATGTGCTTTGTTACCTGCTGTGCTCTGCAATTAGCCACCCAGCACTTTTCAAAAGAAAGACATTTCAAGGATTACTGACACATAAATAAAAGTTAAAAAATAATGAGATTTGGGGGCTGTTACTCCAAACACCACACATCTGTTTCTGCCTCCTGTATTTCCATATCTGGACTTTCTGAAAATATGATAAAGGCTAGAGGTGAGGCATAGTTGCATGGAAGCAAGATGAAAGAAATATGTTATTAAAATAAAACTATTGAAGTGGCTGACAGTCTAGAGTTCTGAGCAGTCAACAAAACCCCTGAGAAGTATTAATTTGAAAATCATCTTCTTTTTTTTGCAGGATTCATTGCCGCAGACATTAAAGGTACAGGCTCTTGGACCCAGCTGTATCTCATCACTGACTACCATGAGAACGGCTCGCTTTATGATTATCTAAAATCTACTACCTTGGACACAAAATCCATGCTAAAACTGGCTTACTCCTCCGTTAGTGGCTTGTGCCACCTGCACACGGAGATCTTCAGTACTCAGGGCAAACCCGCTATTGCCCACCGTGACCTAAAAAGCAAGAATATCCTGGTGAAAAAGAACGGTACCTGCTGTATAGCAGATTTGGGCTTGGCTGTTAAATTCATCAGGTGAGTAGAAGTGAGGAGGAAAGTTGGCAAACGCTGGTTTAGTTGTCGGCGGAGGGAGCGTGCACGTGTGAGTAAGCACCTGCAGTGTGCGTGCACACCTTTCACCCTGCGCTCACCTGTGTGCGAAGCGGGGCTACCTGTGTGGGCGAGGATGTCGTGTAAACACATAACGCAGGTGTATGAATAGTTCTGAGTTTTTGGTTGCTGAGCACATTAGTTGCATGTGCATAAAGGTTCAGTTTTCATCACTTCGCCCTCAATAGCAACCGGAGTATTGCTACCACATCCTAAAAGGTTGTAGCACCGACAGGTTTAAGTCGTGTCCGTAAACTCGTCACTGAAGCTTTTAGCTTGCCTGACCCCAAGATAATTCACTCGCAACTTACACAGAATAATACTAATCATTTGCACAAGTTGCTAATTGGGATTTATTGAAAAGCACCCCGTTTGGGCTGCTTTTTGTTTCATTTCCTACAAATCAAATTGCTGAAGTACAGATTTGATTTTTGAAATGGCTTTTAAATTTGATTTAAAAAAAATGGTTGTCTGTTTAAACAACTTAGAGCAGACAAGTAGGACTTACTCACTCCTGGGGTTTGTAAAGGAGTCGTCACTGTCTGACAGTTGCGTTCAAAAGGAGCTTGAGCTCTCGGCAGTGCTCCTGGTGGTGGCGATGTGTGTGACAAAGTCTCTGATTTTTCTGTGTGTAGAAATGTGGCTATAGGCTGAAGGTTTCAGTTTCAGAGGTCAGTTTTGAAATCATGTGCTCTCTGAAGTATCAAAAAAAAAAATTAAGAATTCTGTACAAAACTTTAACTGAAATTGTACAGAAAGGCAGTTTTTATGTGCTCTTCTCACCATTCGCTTACTTACCAGGTTTCTTGGTGAGGCTTTTCCTTTCTGAACCTGACCTTTCTTTAGGAGATGAGAAAGGAATATTTTTACTTGGAGGAACAGGGGCCTAGAGAGCAACTTGGAAATACACTGTTTGCTGTAAAAGTTTCAGGGGTGAAATTCGCCCTTTGCAGGTATACCTTGCCTGACAAGTGCAGAGCAGCACACTGCTTAGGTATGAACCGAGAAGAACTAGGAACTGTGAAGTGTTGGTATACAAGAAGGTGAAATATGTATTTGTCACAGTCCAAGTGGAATTTGCATTACATACTGGGCTTGTTTTTCATACTGAATCTTTCCTTTGACAGCATTTCTCAGGCAGTGCCAGGAACGGAAAAAAGTAGTTGAAAGGGGTGTGCTCTGCTGAAGCCAATCAGTTTACTAAAGTTATCCACATTTCTCATTTTGCTTGAAATATTGAACAATGGTGCAGGTCACTAAATTTATGTTTCATTCTTGGAGATATATAGAAATGCCACCAACATACGTATGATTTAATGACTGTGTAAGTGACTGGTTGTATCTCAGGCTTGGCTTTTTTTGTTATTTTCATAACGGTAGGTGAAGAAAATTGCTGTAGGTGAAGAAAATTATAGAAGTAGTTGTATCATTATTCAGTTGAGATTTTGTTGTATCCATCACGTTTAAAATGTTTACATTTTGAAGGTGATGAAAGGGAAACGGACCTTTCTAGGCAAACCACAATATATACCATATATTAAACTTTTAGAAACATGAAAACTGGTACAGCTGAATTTGAGTTAATAAGAAAAAAAAAATACAGTCACATAATTAATGGGAATTTAGTTCCTGTTAGATATACCTTGTCTCTTCTGGTCAATGTGAGAGGTGTGACATATTTGGTTAGATTTGTTTACACACATCTTGATGTGTAAAGGTTGAGAGAGATCAAATATAATCCATGCACAAAAAGTAGCTAGGCTCCTCTTCCTTGCAGATCCCTTTTGCTACAGCTAAGTGATACTGCCCCAGCTGTTCAGTGTTCTCCATTAATTACTAAGAATAAAGCATTAGGTGGTGGAGTATGTTAAGAAAACAGCATTTGATGAAGATTTGATTGTTATCACCAGCATTAGAACTTGGGCTAATGCTAATGAAATCTCAAAAATGTTACAGCATCCCTGTTGAGTCTTATCTCCATTGTGGTTCTGCATTTGAATGCTTAACATAGCCTCAGGCGGGTCAGCCTTTTATGGAGGGTTGCTTTCACACTAAGAGGCTTTCCTTGTAAGAAATGTTCCGTTAAGATTATGCATTACTTTTGACCTTGTTTGAGAGTGGATGTGGTGTGAATTTACCACTCCTCCTATCTAAATTGCTTTCTTTTCAAGCCACTTTACTGTGTGTTTGATGTCTTTTTTTTTCCCCCTTCTTTTTCTTTTAGTGACACAAACGAGGTAGACATACCTCCAAATACCCGCGTAGGAACAAAACGCTATATGCCGCCTGAGGTGCTGGATGAAAGCTTGAATAGAAATCACTTTCAGTCGTACATCATGGCTGATATGTACAGTTTTGGACTCATCCTTTGGGAGATAGCAAGGAGATGTGTTTCGGGAGGTAAAGAGCTGGGAGATAACTTTTAATTGTGTCAGTGAACTCCATTTATAACCCAAATCTTCCATTACATCCTTTTCCCTGGTTAAGTGTTTTTACTGTAATAAGCAAGTGTGGATAAACCGTACAGGTAACTCTCTTGTTGAAACTTATTTTAAAGCATCACTCAGTGCTATTTCAACAGCAGAGGTTTAGTCATGTATTTTAATGGCTCATTTGAAGGCAGTGAATGCCTGCACTGAAGAAGGAATATGGAGCTCACTTGAGGGCCTTTTCCAATGGCAACACATTTTTGCTGGACTCGGGGTTATTCAACTATTTTAGCAGAAAGAAAATAGGGATTTCGTTGTTTTGTTAGAGTTAAATAAAAGGAAGAGGACAAACAATTTGACAGTATGCTGTGCCACTATTTAAAATAAATAATTTGTTTACAAGACAAGTAGAAAAAAAAAAAAGAAAAACAAACCAAAAGGAAGTGTCACTTACTACATCACTGTCATACCAGTGATGTGCTTCATTCCCTTCTGATATCAGGCATCAAGCATGAGGACAGCAAAGATAAAGCAATGCACCCAGCTGCAGACTTGGGGCATAGATCCATCCTTGTACACTTAGGCTACATGTCCTTTCTGCATGTACAACTCAGTGTAGTGCAGAAATGATGGGTGTTATTACCTCTGTTTTTCCACTGAGGAAACTTAAATGCAGAGAAATGATTTGGCAGTGGTTCCGTGCCAGATCGGTGGCAAGTAAGAGTAGAGCGTGTCTCTCTCGGGTCTACGCTGCCTTCACCAGACTCTATGGGTCTTTAAAGCCTGCAGCATCGTGCTGAATGTTCACTCCATGCTTATCCTAGAGGAGCTGAATTTCACTGATGAGCAACGTGATCCCTGTGTTTACAAACTGGTAAAGTGTATTGCAATGATGCAATGTAGAATTTGTAATATTGTTGTCACTGTTGCTGCGCACAAAGAACGGTACCTTGCCATGTTCTGAAAAGGCACGGAAATGCACTTTAATATATACCCTGTCCACTGATAAGGAAGAGACCGAATTCAGGGTTAATTCTCTGCCATATTTCTCTAATAAGGGCCCTGTGCTACTAGTTCTTTCTGTGATAACTTACTGGACATTTCTGGACTGGACAGCAGTGGTAGAAACTGTCTCAGTCAGCAAGTAACTAAGATTTTGGATTAAATTACCTGGCCAGCCTTTATATGTTAATGGTTATGTTGGAACTTGACTGTGTAATAAACTTCTGGGGCAGGGAAGTCCTTTTAAGGAGAAGTACCTCTAATTGTTAAACAGTATGATCAATCTGGTATAAAGTGAGAGGGGAACAGGGTAGTGGAAGATGCTTTCTGCAAGTGATGGGCAACTAATTTCTTCTTTCAGGAATAGTTGAGGAATACCAGCTTCCATACCATGACCTCGTGCCCAGCGACCCCTCGTACGAGGACATGCGGGAGATTGTGTGCATCAAGAGACTACGCCCTTCATTTCCCAACAGATGGAGCAGTGATGAGGTACCGTCCCTCTTAAAATGCAGCCTGTGCTTTTAATCAGAGTGAGCGAGTGAGGTTGACTCAATTCTGCACCGTACTGAGTGAGAAGGAGCTTTACCACTGGTGTTAGCACCAGTCACGGTGCAACAGCGCTCAGGAAGGAGCGTGACCTTCTCGGTTATCCCCACGGAAGGTTACAGAGCCCCAGGGGCCGTAGCCCATGGTATGTGCACGCGGGTTCCTCGTGTGCTGTCTACCAGATCCCACAGCAATAGCAGGCTGTGCTCAGACCTTCTTAGTCTCTGTTTTCCTCTTGCACTCATTTTGCTTTCTGTTCCTTTTCTGTTCCTGGCATTAATAGCATTAAATCAGTGGCTAGCCAAAGATTTTGAAAGAGAAATTATTTTGTGGTGTATAGTGCAGTGGTAGCGTACTCAGTCTTCTGGCAGCTACTTCAGTGTGTACTGATGTGTGGGCTGTAATTCCAACCTTTTACCTTATTTTTTTTTTTTTTTTTTTTTTTTTTAAGAAGGAAATATCTTCAGTCTCTTTGAAATGAAATGAGCATACAGCTTTTCTGTGATCACAGGTGCGCGGGCTTGGAAATGTGATTTTACTGTGATTCCACGCTAACATGAGCACAAGATACTAAGTTTCACTCTTACGGTATTGATGTGCAGTAGTACTGACCACAGTAGCTGGGCTGCACCAAGGGGCACCCATCGTTCACCCTTTTACATCTTACAGAAAAGAGTGCTCATGTACCTCTTTGCATTTTAGCAAAGATTGCTACAGACGTGGTCTTTCAGAGGAGATGTAGGATCCAGAAAATGCTTTCCAGAATAAAATGAGGAGGTGAGAGGGCTGGAGGAAAATCAGAACTCTCCCTGCTGAGCACCTGTAATGGAGCAAAGTTGTGCTTGTGCGATTGGAGATGAACAGTTGAGGTACTGCAGGCAAACCTGCCGACTGCTCTCGAGATGCTGTGGAGGAGGGGTCATTAATCATGTTAATTGGTACAGTTTAACGCTGTAAAGTTTTCTACAGTCGCAGAAGACAGCTGCCATTTGGGAATAGCAGTGTGTAGATGAATATTCTGCAGGTAGATGAAATATTTAGGTGGCATGAGATGTAGGCAGATTGGGAATGTGAGGGCAAAATAAAACAACCTCCCTGGGAGGCTCAAGGGCTTGTGCAACAGCCAGTGTGGGAGGATCTAACTGAGAGTCACCTGCCTCATCCTCTCCCTACCCAAATCCCTCTGAGCCTTCAGACCGGGAGTGGAAACACGGGAGGAAGCTTAAGAGCAGCTGTAAGTTTGTTTGGCAGCTTTTGAGGAGACTATCCTTTGCAAAAATCAGCTGAATTTTGACATACAAGATTGAAAGATGGTTAATATCGATCCTGGGAAGGGATTTTGTGTGGTGGCACTCGGGGTGTGTTTGTTCTGCTACCACACATATCAAGGATTGAGGAGGCTTGTTGAAATAACTGTCCTTGATCAATGGGTTAGCGCCATCTGTAATCTCACCTCAGGCATTCTAGAGATGAGAGGCAAATTCGTTAGTGCATAAAACCTTGTGTATCACCCAAACACATTTATCTGAAATGTATTAGGCTGGTTTCGTCACTGCTGATGGGGTTTATGCTAAATGCCTGTCAGGACCTGCACTGCTGCCGGGCCAGGAGCTTCATGAAAACAGAGAGCAAGTTGGATGAGATGGAAGATTTCTCTTTTCCTATGGCAGCAAGCAAATCTTCAGGCAGCGTAAATCCTTACACTGGCGGGGTCATCACCCGGTTGTGGTGGTTTACATGGTGCTTTATGTTTGGAAGAAGGTGGTAGATGCAGAGTGGGAATGTATGCTCCTTTTCCAGGATGACAAAGGCAAACGCTGAGATGTTGTCAGTGAGAAAGTTGTTGCTGAGAGCTGGAGGAAGGTCTGGCTATGTTTTGGAAGCGGGCAGGGGATGGAACGGGACAGGGCAGCGCTGAGACAGCTGCTCACAGGCAGCTTTTTGGCAGGGCACGGGTGCGTGCTCAGGTACCTCAGGGGCCGGTCCCTGGCTGAGGAAAATTAATTCCACTGAATTTGTACAGCAAAGGGCTCTCTGTACAGACCCACGCTTGTGTGGGTCAGGCAGTGCGAGTTTAGGGAAGGGGAAATTAGAGAAGTGCTTTTGTGGAGTGTACGGCCAAGTCTAGACTATAACTTGTCATAAGAGTAATTGCCATGTTTGGAGAAATCTCCTTAATATACAGGAAACAAAAGCTCTGGAACAGCAGTACCAACCAGAATGGGGGTTTTTGTGGCTGCCCTTAGAAAAGACCTTTTCCCTTCAGTTTTTCAGCACTGCCACCAACTGCAGTCCCCTATTCCACTGACTCAGGTGGGACTTTCTCTCCTGTTTCTCTCTGCAGTGCCTACGGCAGATGGGGAAGCTGATGATGGAGTGCTGGGCTCACAACCCCGCCTCTCGGCTCACAGCCCTGCGGGTCAAGAAAACACTTGCCAAAATGTCAGAGTCGCAGGACATTAAACTCTGACTCGGCCAGAGGCAGCTCTCGTGAAGGCCCATGGAAGTGGACTTTCTCGTGCAGGCAGAAGTCCTGAAGAGGTATCGAAAGTCTTCACATTCACTGAGTGCAGTCATGCTTAAAAGCAGCTGTAAGTTTGTTTGACAGATTTTGAGGAGACTATCCTTTGCAAAAATCAGCTGAATTCTGACATACAAGATTGAAAGAGGCTTGTCTGCCCTTGTTTACACGGGGAAATACAGTTTTAGTGACTGGTTTGAGATTATGCATGTTGCTTTCCATGAAAGCCACTTATTATTTTATTATTATTATTGTTATTATTATTATTTTGATTGTTTAAAAAGATACTGCTTTAAATTTTATGAAAATAAAACTTTTGGTTAGAAGTAAAAAAGATGTATATTGTTACATTAAAAAAAATTGGAGAAAACTGTGCTGAAAATGAAGGCAAAGCGAGTTTTTCATTTATAAAGAGACTGTTGCACATCAGCATTTAAATAAAATAAACAAGGCGATTGGGTCCGTGCAGCTCAGAGGAGCTGTAATGGAAACAGTCTTAAAAGCCACCTACCTGAGGAGATGACTTTGCACAGCCCTGCACGTGCGAGATGGAGCCCAATTACATCTCTGCCATCGTTAGCACAGGCGGCCGGGTTCCTGTGGGTGGCCTGACCCCGGGGAGGTCGTGCTTAAGATAATTGGGAGCCATATGAATATGGTTCAGTGTGACTTGTCTCTTCGTGTTTCCAGGAAGTCTGATGGGTATGGTGCCAGGATGATAAACAAGTGCCCCTTTTCTCCGATGCTTTTTTTTTTTTTTTTTTTTTTCTTTCTTTCTTTCTTTCCCCCCACTGCAAAATAAAGTATTTTGTGTGTGAGTGGAAATGAAGTACACATTCGGATCCAATGGTGAATTTGAAACTGCTGTGACCGACATACACCACCACTGGGTAAGAGGAAGTTCTTTGTGAGAAAAAGGTATTAACTTGCTCTTTCATCCATGTAAAAGTGAGGTATCCATCTACAACCACAGTTGGGGAAAAAAAAAAAAAAAAAAAAAAAAAGATTTACATTCCCTTTTTCAAGGGAAAGTGAATAACCTCAAAAATTCCCATTTTTGGGGTGGCAGTCATTTTTCCTCAAGTGTAAGGAGACCTGGTGCTTCCTGGCTGCAGTAGGAAGCTGGTGGGGAGGGAGCATGGGCCTTGGGTGGGCGGGGGGGCACCGCAAACCGAACAATTTGGCTCAAGCTTCACCTGCCTTACTATTTCAGGTGGCTTTCCAGCAGCCTCCGTGCCTCTGGGAGCCACGGCGCAGTAAGTGACGGTAGTGACAGGCTCTGCCGCCACGCTGGGGCTGCTAGGTAGCAAGAGGAGCTTTTAGGGGAAAAAAGCAATGGGAAACGTATTCACTGTCTTTCCCCATTCCTCTTTCCTGGGGCTGCAGCAGTTGCTGCGATGTTAATACTACAGAAGGGGAAATGAGAGGTGAAATATTCCCTGTGAGGTGTTTTCTTTGGAAAGGTGGTTTCATCAGATTATCAAAGATGAGCTGTATGGGAGTTACCAGTATACCCTTCTTTACCGTTCCTTTATTTTTTAAAATTTTTTGCCTGCCTGTGTCTTGTTTCACTAGATGGTGTTCAGTTTAATTTTGAAGTAAGTCTTTACAAATGCTGCTTTGATTATGCTAAGCCTGTTTCAGAACTGATATAATTGCCATGCTGGATTTAGCCTCAGCATTTCTGTAATGCTTCTTTTTTCCCTTTTTGGACAAAACTGATTTATTTGTGGTAGGTAGGTATATAATTGGGGTTTAGCTTCACAGCTCCCTGAAGGTATTTCTAGTTGGAAAACTTACCATTTTATACTTTCAAGCTAACAGAGAAAAATGCAGAGGTTCAAGAGAACCAGCAGGACCTCCATGATTATAGGTGTTAAAAAGTTTAATCAGAGGATTTTTGGTAATTAGAGTGCTTTTTCCACAGTACAGTTTCCCTGCCTGTACCCAAAGCTACCGAGCAATACAAAAAGAAAATCTCTGGGAGTTAATAGTACACTGAAGCCTGGCCCCAAGAGGGGCAATGCTGGCTTCCCTGTCCTTAATAAACAGCGTACTTGCCTGGCTGAGAGTGGAGTTTGCTCCTCTCCTTGGCTACCTTGGATTGAAGATTTGTGGCCCAAAATGAGAAGGACAGCCCAGCCTCTCTTCTCTTACCTTAGTGAACGGAGCCACGGGGTTTCTATTCTCACTCCTCTTGCCTTCATGCCCTTTCATAAAAACCAGCTCCGCCCCAAGGAACTGGGGTTTCTCGGCTCTGATGAAGCAGATGGAACCACTGACTTTGGTGGCGGTTGGGGGAGGCTCGGTCAATCCCACCTCCGAGCCCGGACACACAGCAGGGATGCTTCTTCCCTGCCTTGTGTAGTTGAATTTCATGTCTGCTTTCCTCAAATAGTTTTGTTTTGTTTTGTTTCGTTTTGTTTTTTCTTTTTAATTATCATGGCTCTCTCCAGAAATATTTTGGAGGGTGCTTTGGTGGCTGGTGGATGCGATGCCTGCGATGCCCCTGGTGTCTGCCATCAGTGTGCTGTGAGAGGAAGGGCCAGTCACTGGTTTTCTGAACAAAGTCTTACTTTTTTTAGTCCGAAAGAAAGGGATCTAAGATACTGGTTGATAGGTTACATAAAGTGTGTATGTTAAATGTTCAAGTTTATGTGTTTTTTATATATATATATATAAATATATATATATATATACACACACATATATATATTCAGTTGGGAGTCTGGAATAACTCCAGGATGTGGATTAAAAGTAAACTATTATGGATGATAAAGCACTAAATAAAACATATTATTTATTTATGAAAATACATAAATGACAAATCACTGCAGCGGTGCTATATAGGAAAATAAATAAATATATATATATATACGAGGAGACACACTCAGAGAAAGCAAAGGGTCTGCAGTTGTGTAACTAGTGCCTGCCTATTTTCTCCCAAGACTTGAAAGGCCAGATTTTGCCCTCAAATCTCCTACCCACTGTAATCGATGCTATTATAAAGGAATATTCCTAAGGCCAGAAAACAGCCTAAGGCAAGCATGGAAGTCGTTTGTTCTAGCACTGTGACATTCAAGTTACTGCCTGCATGGTTGACTTTCTGCAACATTCAACATGTAATTATTATGGTTTCAGCATGTACAGTGACTACAGGTTAGTACATTTATTTTGCCAGGTGTGGCCTTTGAATGTCACTTCCAGATTTTGGTAGTTTCACAGTGCATATTGATGAGAGCTTGGAGGTCAGTGGCGGAGATAATCGTGGTTTCAGTGCCTGCAGGTCTAGAAATCTGGTTTTCAAATGTAAATTACTGAAGGAAGTTTAGTTTAGGAATATGATGGCATAGGTAAGTGGGAGAAGGTGGTTTAAAAAGAACACCCAAAAAGAAAGAGAGATGCCATCTAGCAACTGCTATCCTTTCTATAGCACAAAGTTATTTCTGTTAAAGAAAAGGTTGACAGTGTAAAGACTAAGAAACAAATTTGTGTTCTTTTTTGAGAACCAGTGCCTTATTAAACGTGTAAATACTGTAATTAGAAAACCTGAGGAACAAACTGTTATGTTGTATTTGTTCAAATTGTATATGGTTCTTTTAACATTCCCCTAAATAAAATTGTTTCCATCTCTCCATGACTGAGATTGCTTTTACTTCTTACTTTTCATGTGCTTGACAAGTAAATGCTTTGGGTTCCATTTCCCTGGCTAGATTATTTTGACCATGTCTCACTTTATTTATTTATTTTTTATCAGATTTTTCCTCAGAGCAAACAAATAAACAGCCAAGATGTTGCATATGTTTCCACTGGCATAAAAAAGCATCACCCCTTTCACAACTCAGTGAAGAGAGAAATAGCAATTAAAATAGTGTTATCACTAATAGAGCAGTCACTTGCATTTTGTGGCTGATTATGTAAATCTATAGAAATTTGGCACTCACATAATATTTTTGTGAGGCCCCCCCTTCCGATCTTTCTCCCACATATTTATGAACTGTGAGTACTGTTTTTAATAGCGCAAGAGGCGCAGGAGGTAATCTGTGCACAGACTGAAGCTAGGTTTTCTAGCCCCATGTTTCAGGAGGAAAAAAGTTGCAACCAACAGACACCGCATCCGCTGAAATGTGGCATTGCTTAATGCTGAGAGACATCGAAGCATGTGTATCACTACGTACAGAGAGATACTTGGATGTATTTATGTTTACGGCCTGAGCTCTCATCTCGTCCTGCAGTGCCATGTTGCAGCATGCAGCATTCACCTCAGCGTTTCCCAAAGTGTAATTACCTTGCTGGTTATGTTCAGAGAGGTGGGTAAACAGCATTTTTCCCTCGAGCCCCATCTTACCACTGACTTAACACCGACCCTGCAGCCCTCCTGCTTTGCCCCAGGACATCTGTGATCAGCGGCGGAGCGTTGCAGTTGTTCTCCGGCAGCGTTGCCACAGTCCCTCGGCCAGGCCATGCTTGCTGCATGTCGTCCCTGGCTTGTCACTGTATCCCATCATTTTGGGGCTGTTTCTGCTCCTCTTGGCCGCCCAGTGCTGAAGGCTATTCAGTGCTCCAGCACAGCCTGTCTGGGCTGTACCTTCTCCAGCATGCTGCTGAGATAGGTGTTTCTGCAGCTGCCCTCCGTTCCTCCCATCCTCCTTGCTTTTTTCCCCTAACTTTCTAGCCATGGGTTTTGGGGGCAGTCCTAGGCTCTGCTCTCATTTTCTTTCCTCTCCGTCTCAGTAGGTGCCTGGCTAATATTCAGCCTTTGGCTTAGCTACCTCTATCCTCTGCAGCTGTAGGCAATGCTGGGACTGTTTTGCTTCCATTCAAGGCTGGCAGAGTCATGCTGCTGTCCCTTGCGAAGACCAGAGCTCTGCTTCCTCATGAAACACACCAAACTGTCCTTTTCACTACCTGGGAAGGAGAGTTGCAGTCTCACCTTCAAATGCAGAAACATCGGAGCAGACACTTTCAGGAGACTCGGGAAGAACAGCTAGAGGTAAGGTACCTGAAGGAAAAGTCCCTGAAGGTAAGAAGGGAGCTGCTTGGCCAATGCAAAGACTGCAGGCTACAGCAGGCCCAACCCATGGTGCTGGCAAAAATCAAAGGAAACCAGAGTTTGGCAATACATGTAGACAGTTTGGGAATACTGGGATGGACAGAAAAGAGCTTGTCTCCTGTGAAAACTTAAGTATGCAAAGGGAAAGGCAGCCAGACACCAGGAAATCTAAAAGCAGTGGCTGTGTCCAAAATGAGCATCTTAATTTTGCAGAAACCAGCCCTGCCTGCAGCTCGGCTCTAACTGCAGGACCACATGGTGGCCAAAGTTTCCTTTGAAGAAGTTATGTCTCGTGTCCCTTGGGATACTGATCCTCCCTTCATGTCTTACCTCCAAGTCCTCTTTGTACATAATCTACCTCTTCCTATTACAGAGAAGATTTAAAAAAAAAAAAAAAAAAAAAAAAAAGAATAGTTCTCCCTCTGTGTTGCCAAAGGTCCAGTGGCTTTTGGATGGAGTAGACCTGTCACTGGCACTTGACCACAGCTTTGTGCCATGCTCGATGTACTGGAGCAATGCCCAGTATTTCATCTGGACTCGGGGCATCAGGTCTTGGCTCAGTAACCTGCCAGTCCCCAGTAGCTGCAAGGGACAGCCGCACGAGTTGGCACTGCGGGGCTGCTTGTGCCCGTCTTCCTGCAAGGAATTACTGCCTCTTAAGTGCAAATAAATTACAGGAGCCAGTGGGCAGAGATTGCCCACACCCCAGTTTTAGCAGAGAAGCCAGGGAGATGGAGGAGCCTTGTGTTAGTGATACAGTTCACTGAGGAGTGTTAAAGCTGGTGGCATCCTGTCCTCAAGGAGAACAGACTGAGTAGTTGTCTTCCACCCACTGTGTAGCTGGCGTTAAAAATTGTAATGGGAGATAAAAATAAAGGTACTGTACACCTTAGGAAAAGCTGGCTGTAATCCAGGTGTAAGAGGGTGGGTTTTTAATGGTCTCCCCTTTTCCATCTGGGCTGCAACGTCTCACAAACCTGGCAAATGCACTCGTCACCATGTTCTCAGCCTTCGTGCTGTGAGCTGGTTTGGCTTCGTACGCTACCGAAGTGCTTCGGCTTTGACTTCACCGTGACTTAACCTTGCAGGGAGAGCGGCTGAGCGAACACATTGCGAGGGCTGAGCATTCCTCGGCGTAGCACAGCAGGAGGGTGGGCATCCAGCCCTGCACCTGCAGGGGATGGGATGGGATGGGATGGGATGGGATGGGATGGGATGGGATGGGATGGGATGGGATGGGATGGGATGGGATGGGATGGGATGGGATGGGAGAGGACGGGATGGGATGGGACGGGATGGGATGTGCTGCTGGGATGGGATGGTGCTGCCCCTGGCAGCACGTAGGCCCCCGTACCGCCTCCATCACGGGCAGGATCGGCTCCTCAGCCCAGGGCTGACCCGTTGGCGAGGGGCTGGCTGTAAGAGATGACCGGTTCCCCAGTGCCATCCCACACCTCAGCTGGGAGCAGCAGCTGCGTGGCTGTACTGGGGAATTTGCCTCTTGCACCCCTAGGAATTCAATACTGAGCACAACAGGTCTAGCGGTCCCGGTGAGAAACAACCACCACCTCTGACAGTGGGGAGCGGGCGCGAGAAGGGTGAGCGACAGTGTTTGGGCGTTGTAGCCACCTGGCTAACTTAGACGTAGGCCCGTATTGCTGGACAAAACCATCTTGCCCAGGTGGTGGTCAGTTTGCCTCCCAGGCATCTGCCACAAGGCTGGTGGGGTGCTCCTCTTCCTAACAAAAAGGTTGGAAGCTGGGAGGGGGAGCTGAGCTCAGCAGCCGAGGATGCATTTTGTTGCCTGTTGCTTTCCTCCACCTTTGACTGCAGACATGAAATTCAAACCCCAGGAAACCTATGTGGGGCAAATCCTCCTGTAGCTGCTGGGGTGGTACCCCATGAGGAGGCACGAGGATATATGAAGTGCAGTGAAACAGCCTGCATGGGCATGTGGATGTCATGAATGTTGTCTTATGAGGGAGACTGCATCACAAGAAGTTCTTATGAGCAGAAACATTTCTTTTGAGCAGATAATATAAATATATATATTAAAAAAAAAAAAAAGAAACTAAGTAAAAAGCTTCTCTTTCCTACCAAGCTTCCAGAAACTAAACAATTGAACACAAGGTAGTGGTGTATTTTTTTTTCCAGTTGCTTATAAATATAATTTATTACCTGTTTAAAAATTCTTTCTTACACTTTGTACATGTCAGGCTGACAGAATAAATGCAGGCATTTACAAACAGAGGGAAGGAGAAAAAGGGAGGGGGATAAGAGGCACACTCAGAACTAGTAAACCACACCTCCACTGTACAGCAATACAAATAATGCAATGGCTAGCACTTCTCCGGTAGTAAGTCAGTCTTTAGAAAAGGAATTGCATAGAAGATACAGCAATAGGGAAATCAAAACCAAAATAGTTCTACAAATCTGAATAGCAAAGAAAACAAATCCCACGAACCCTGGTAGAGCTGAGACATGGGAAGAGGAGGGAGAAACAGGGTACACCCTCTCGGCCTGGGTTGCACAGGCATTCGATTTCCTATGGGCCCTCCTTCTTTGCTTTGGAAAGGTACCAAAGGTACCATCTTAAGGGTTGTTTGGGGATTTTTTTTTTATTTTTTTATTTTTTTTACTCTTCAGCATTAACAGAGAGAACATGTGTTAGCAAAAAAAGTCTACTACACAGATGTGCCAAAACAGTAATGCCAGGTGATGCCATAACTTCTCTGTCTCAGCTGTGTTACGCACCCCGCTTCAAAGTAGGCTGTGGGCTCACCGCTCTGCGGGTGTTTTTGCAAGACGCCTTGACAGACCTATGGGAGAAGAGTGTTTTGCTACTCCATCTTCCTAATTTTATTTACTTTCCAGACCAATTTTTCTTTTTATTTGTTTTGTTTAAGCTCCCAAATTTACCAGCAAGCTGTAGCAAGAGCCAGCTGGCAGCAGCTGGAGACCAGAGTGCCAGTACTCAGCGAGTCATCTCACCGCTGCGGAAGGGCCCTGCCTGATTACATCCCGCTTCTTCACAGGCATCCAGAAGTTACTCCCATGCCATGGCACGGGATGCTTTGGGAGGAAAGGGAAGCCCAGGGTACAGCACACGTAGCAATTAATCTCTTTGTAAGCAGTCAAGGAGACTGAATCACTATTAAATACATTTAACCAACATCACAAAAAATGTGAAATACCTGTTTGATGATAGAGGTTTGCGGGCATTCTGTATTATCATTGTTTTTTTGTACAGGCAGAGTTTATCAAATGACTTTCAGATAAAGGGATTTTCAGATTTCAGGGAGCAGGTGTCAAGCTTAAAGGACAAGTAAATAAACTAAATGCTCCAATTTCAAGCGAGGAGCTTGACCTAACAAACTTGAGGGCTCGTTTCTGTGGCTTTGGTTCAAGTCCAGCTCTAGTTTCTTTGCCAGTTTACACTCTGTTGGCTCTCGAAATACTGCCTACTTGACCTTGCAGTGATGATACAGCAATGAATTTTGACTTTCACCTTCCCAAGCAAAGGTTGCTCGTAAGAGGATGCCCACAACTAACATCAGAGCTAAAAACCTCGAGCAGTAAGTGTCTTTTATTTTCTCCTCTCTGTCTGCCTGTATACACACACACACGCGCGCATTTTGCATTTCTGTTAAATTCCCACTTCAAAGGATGTCCAAGATACATGCTTCAGCGTTTAAAAATCTGCAGCGCAGCTCATTTTTATGAACTCGAGGTTTTACACACAAGCTAGGAATGGATTGCAGTGGTGACCCCAAAGTTAATACCTCATTGGAGTCCTTGCAGGAGAAGAGCCAAAGGTTTGGTTTCCATTCGCAAACCACTCGCATCTTTGCACCGCCTGATATTAAGCAAGCCAGCCTGCAAACAATTAGTTACTTCGTGGCAAGATGAGAGCCAGATGAATGCCTGAAAAGACTTCTGAACACTCAGTAAGATAGTTTACAAAGTGCCCTGGACACGAGCTTAAAAAAAAATCCCAACTTCAACAGTCTCATCTTGTTTAAAATTAACCTCAGAGCTGTGGTAACTACTTGGCTAGAGCATACAATGGTCTAAGGGCCCCCTCACCCCTCCCTTCCCCATACTCCCACTCCCCAAAACAAGAAGAAAAAGAGAACCAAAAAGAAACTGTTGTAGGTAGCAATACAAAACATTAGGACACTGTCCACAATGATGGGCTTACAGCATGTAAATACATTTATTCTATATGTCAGCAACAGAAATAGCAAAAAACCCATGGAACAGACATGTTTTGCTATGTGGGCATCCCAGACTCCAACATGTCTCACGAGTGTTTGCATTTCTGCCAGCGGTACGGGAGAAAAAAAAAGCTCTCAGTCTCCCATGGAAGCAAAGCTTGACTGAAGAGACCCTCACTGCCTCAAAACTTTCAAGACTCAGTAAAACGGCATTTAGGACTTGCACTGTTTAGGGAGATACAGTGGATCAGCTGTGATCAGAAAATTCAGAAAAAACCCCAACCAAACCCCAAGCTTACTTACCCTATACACTGACAGCCACCTTTACAAGAACACAACACAAGAAGAACTGAAGAAAAAAAAATCAGGTGAAAAGGACTGCCTCCGATAGTGTTTCTTACTTGGAAATTAAAGTTTTTCCTTGAAGTCAGTAGATATTTTATATATATTTATATAATATATATATTATTTATAGCACTAGCAATCAACATGTAATAAAGTGATGGTGTGACGAGCAGCAAAACTGCTACAGCACATAGCCAAAGGTGGACAACTAAAAGGATAAGCATTTAAAAAAGTAGTAATAACTGGAGGATAAGAAGCCTGCAGCCTTTTTTTTTTTTTTTTTTTTTTTTTAAAAGCAGATGTGCTTACCTGACATAAAATGTTACAATAATTTTTTAGAGTCGGTTCTGTCTGCTGACCTTCTCTGCCATTTTCAAGAGCCACCCTACGAGAAAGCCTTTTCCCGGGCGATGCTGCTCGCCGTGTCGGCGGCAGCAGGCTGGAGCCGGGGCTCGGCCCCACGAGATGGCACTGTGTCCCCGCCATCCAGGCGGAGGGACGGCTGCTGGTTTTCCTCCTACCAAAAATAATATCCCCAAAGGATCTGGCCACCGTTGCTTCCCACCCTCCCTCCTCGGGGCAGCAGGAGGGGGATGCTGAGGGGTGCGTACCACTGGCCTGTGCCAGAGCGCTCTCCCCAGCCGCATGCCCTGCCACCACTGTACCCCCCAGAAAAAATAAAAAAAAAAAAAGAAAAAAAAAGAAAATAGCCAGCAAAATTAATGCGGGGGGGGGGGGGGGGGGGGGCTGTCAGGTATGGTGGGAGCTGCTGTTAGCAGCTATGGAGTGCAGAGCTACTGGCTCTGTGGTGGAAATGTCCCTGTTGCCGGCAGCCCCTGCGTCTCCCTGCCCCGGCAGAGCTGAGGCAGCTGGCACAGTGCCGTGTTGGGACCCTGGAGCAGGAGAAACCATCCAGCCCCTGACTGCAGCAGGCAGGGGAAGGTTTCTGAGCAGACAGGGTGGAAGAAGAGCAGCTCCACCTTCCAGCGACTGTGATGCCGCTGCCCTAGCCAGCAGTGATGTGCTGGACCTCCATCCACCTCTGTGGACGATCCTCTTAATCAGAGAGTGCCTTTTCCTCTCAATAAATCCCCTTTACAGTGACACTGCAAAAGGAAAACGCCCTAGAATACTTTAAGAAAGTTGCTCATCTGTTTTTCCTTGAAGGAGCTATTGGGGAGTAGGTCAGAGAGGTGGCAAAAGGAGTAGCAACTCACAGCGATACAGATAGCTAGGAGACACTGTCTGGCAAGGCCCCAGTGAGAAGGGTGCACACGCTGCCCACCTACCAAAAGCTGAGAGCTGGGCACAGCAGTGAGTTTGGGCGTCAGCTAACGAAGACTGAGCTGAAGAGGGGCAGGGGCTGAAGGATGGTTCAGCTCATGCACCTGCCTTGGAAGAGGAGGCACGCAGGAAGGACATGCGGGAAGGGTGAGGAAGCACGAACTAAATACAACTGGTTACACCTGAAGATGGCACAGGAGGGAGAAACGCTGAGACCTATCTTTTAGGAGCCATTTTAATGCTCCAGGGTGAATAAAAAATGTAGGGAAAGGGCAGAGCTGGAAGCCCCAGCTGAAGCCTCCTGAAGCTGAAAGCAAGACTTTCATTAGCATTGCAGTGGGCTGCATTGGATGCGCAAGGTGAAAAAGAAGATGGATGTTTGTTGAAAGGATGCCCTTGGCATCTCCACATTAAGAGAAGGTGGGGCCTGCACAGGCAAAATGCAGACAGATGTTGAAAGAGAAAATGTATGTCCTCTGGTCTCAGGTTTTGACTGAAATGCTGGTTTGCAAACTGCTAGGTTTCCTTTTTCGAGGAAGGGAGTGCTTTGTGATCACTGTGCAGCGGTCAATCAAAACCCAGCTGGTGTCAGGGAGCTGAGAAATTAAAAAAAAAAAAAAAAAAAAAGAAAAGTCCCAAGCCTATGGAAATGTCAAATGGGAAAAAGGTCAGATGAAATTTTCCTTTCATTTTGACCAATGACATTTTCAACGTTACCTTTAAAGGCACAATCTGGAAAGCCTTGGGGAAAAACAAAACCAAAAACAAAAGAAAACAAGCCAGCTCTGGTCTCAGGAAGCACACGGAGTATGTGTGTGGGCAGGAGCATGCATATGTGCACAACAGCAGTAATCAGGGTCTGGCTGGAAACCTGCAGCAGACGGGCTGGGGAAGAAAGCCTGTTTTGCACCAGAAGTGGAGGACAGGCAAGCCTGGCAGTAAAACTACTGCAATCCCATGCGCTGTCATGTACCAAAGAGTCGATCTTTTCACTGAGCAGGAAATAAAACACGTTTGCAGTGACAACCGAAAAAAGCAAGCGTTTGCTCCTTTTGCTCAGTCCCCACTTCACCTGATTGTGGTGGCCAAGAGGGACATGGCTGAGAGGGACAAACGTCTCCCTGGTTGGCCAGCAAGGGCCTGCACCACCCTGCCCAGGCAGCGGCGCCGGAGGGAGCGGACTGCAGTATCTGCGATTTCCACTTCACCACACTGGCCCGTGTGGCAGAGGCTTCCCTGGCTGCAGCAAGCCTGGGAATATCTGTGGAGATCCACCAAGTGCATCAGAAATGACCCACCAGAGGACCCTCCCCAGGAGCCCTGACCACAGCAGAGGCGGTGGGTTTCAGCAAGAGTGAGTACCTGCAGCTCCGTGGGAAGCCAACAGGAGCTGCTGGGTCTCAGACCACTTCAAAGCAAAGCAAGACATCTGGAGGCCCACCTTGGATGCAAAAATCAGGTGGCCAACATCAGTGCCTCCACATCCTTGCACCCGTGTTCCTGAACCAGTGGGCAACATGTATTTGAAGTGGGAGGCTGTCACTGGTTGACAGCAACCTCGGGACAGGAATGCTTCTTGGACTAACCCGGAGGCACCAAGGTAGGGCAGAACGTCCCAGGGAGGGGTGCTGGGTTGGGTCCTTAGCGGGTGCAGAGCAGTGACTTCAGCAGAGCGCCAACAGTTTGTACCACCTTTGCATCGGGCATGAAGCACAGCAATGCTAACATGAGGTGAGCAACCCTTATGGGCTAGCAGAGGACTTGGGAGGAGGAGTATGATGGCTGGAGAAGGGAAGGACAGACAGCATATAGAGGGACATGTCTTAGAAGACCTTCAGGAAGGGGACAACAGGTTCCATAAAAACAGGAATGATTCATTCTGCTGCTGACAAAATTAGAAATAAAGTAATAATGGTAATAATAATAATAATAATAATTATAATCCTTGCACTAGATACTAATTAGTAAATAATTATCATAGCAACTTCTCTTTTTTATTTTTTTCTGGGTTTCTTCTTTTTTTTCCCTTAACAACTCTGAATTGCATATCCAGCCCCCTCATATCCTAAAGGGGTGGAAAGGCTATTGTTACATTTTGAATTGAAAATTAACTCCGATCCTACGTTCCCCACTGTACTACAGCTATTCTCCACACAGGCTCAGTGGGACTTGATCGGGGAAGGAAGGGGATGTTAAATGTGTTCCTGCTTAGCACCCAGAGTACCTGCTTTCCAGATGCACACCTCTTAAACTCTGATTTTCTTGTTGTTGTTTGTATTTTTTTTTTTTTTTTTACAAGTAGGTCTAGGAAACAGAACAATGACAGGAGGATCGTTGTGAGACAGTCGATGTGCAGAATTGTAGCCAAAATCTGAATTCACCAGAAACCAATAAGCTGAAATAGCCACAACCAACTGTCCATAGCCTTGTCTAGAATGGCTTTAAACAAAAAATATAAAGAGCCATGGACAGTCTCCTTACCCCTGTCCAGAATTTGATGTAAACAACATCCATAGAAACTGGGATTGTTAAGAAAGTTTATCCATATATCTGGATAGCAATAAAAAGCGTTTCCTAGGAAACTGTAAAATCTGTACCAAGCAGTGTACAGCCAAGCCGAGAGGAACATTATGTTGATGTATATTTTCAAGGTACAAGTTTGCATGATTTCTTTTAGATCCTGTGATAATGTACAAGGAGAGCACGTGTGAAGGTCAGGGCTGTTTTTTTTTTGTTTTGTTTTGTTTTTTGTTTTTTTTGTCTTGTTCTTTTTTTGCTTGCTTTCTTCTCTGAAATGTCTCTTGTGTAACTCATTGGTCTGGGTTTTCATTTCAATTCTCGTTTGTAATAACAGGGCGTTACCGCTCCCTGTGTCTGTCCTTCCTGTTCACGTCAAGGATGCATCAGTAATCTCCTTCTGCTGCCAAAGAAACAATGGTTTCATGTCTTCCCATTTCTTCAAGAACTGCCGCCAGCATGCTCAGGTTGCCGTCAGGGAAATTCTGGGCTTCCCAGAGATCCAGGATCACACCGGTGGGACTCGATTTCGTAGCAAAATAATTTAGGTACCTGCAACAAGCCAAAAGGAAATTCGTTTTTTGAGCTGCATGAAGGCTACCTGAAGTGGTATGATTTCAGTCCATCCCCACTGCTGGTGCTGTCAAGGTGCTCATCTCCTGTGTGGTCAGCCTGACCAGTCTGCAGACACATCTGCTGTCACTCATCTTCACCAGGACCCTTTTGCACATACCTCCCGGGGGCTTTGTTGCCCGACCACGCGTCGGCAGCCCCGCTCACCTGTCCAGTTTCAGCTTGTGGGCCAGCATCCGCCAGTCGTGGCCCCTGGTCTGGGGCGCGTCCAGGCTGCTGCACAGCTTCTGCCTTATTGGGAGGGGGATGCTGAAAGCACTGGGCCCTACTATGGTGGTGATGGAGCCTGCTGAGTCCATAGGAGGATAATCGATGCCAGTGGGTTCCTGAAGTTGGAAAGAAAACAAAACAAAAAAAATACCAGCAGTTTTGTTACTGAATGCAGAGACGGTTATAGAAGTCTATCCTCTGGGACTCAGAGCTTTTACTTGTATTAGAGGGGAGCAGCCCTCTACTAATAAAGCATTTATGTTAGTCAGCTGAAAAAGAGAAATATTTAAACTGACTTTGGGTAGACAGCAGATTTTTTTTTTCCTTTTCTTTATTGCTTTGAGGGTAATAACTATGGCTGGACAAAATTGAGCCCATCTTAGTTAATCACTTACTGTAAATAATGAAAGATCAGGCATTTTGACACATTTCAGAGCAAACTGCTACTACTAGGGCAGAACAGGGCTTTCCTGGCTTAGCTGGCAGGAGCCCTTTCTCAGCAGAACCCCTCAAGTGCCCCACACCACATGGAGCCAGCACTGGGTCACACCGCTGACATCCCTTTGGCAGTACCCATACTCTCCAAAGCCTCTAATGCCATGCAGACCACAGGGAGACAGTTAATACCTCCTCAGGCACAAGCTGATCCCTCAATTTCATAGAATGGAAACATAGCATAGTTTGGGTTGGAGGGGACCTTAAAAGATCATCTCGTTCCAACTCTTCTGCCATGGGCAGGGACCCCTTCCCCCAGCCCAGGGTGCTCCCAGCCCCGTCCAACCTGGCCTTGAACCCTTCCAGGGAGGGGGCACCCACAGCTGCTCTGGGAACCCTGTGCCACTGTCTCACCACCCTCACAGTAAAGAATTTCTTCCTTATATCTAACCTAAATCTACCCTCTTGCAGTTTAAAACAGTTACCCCTTGTCCTATCCCTACAATCTCTGATAAAGAGTCCCTCCCAAGCATTCCTGTAGCCCCCTTTTAAGCACTGGAAGGCCACTATAAGGTCTCCCTGGAGCCTTCTCTTCTCCAGGCTGAACAACCCAAACTCACTCAGCCTGTCTTCACAGAGGAGCTGCTCCAGCCCCTTGGTCATCTTCTTGGCCCTCCTCTGGTCCTGCTCAAGGTCTATGTCCTTATGTTGGGGGTCCCAGAGCTGGACACAGCACTGCAGGTGGGGTCTCACAAGAGCAGAGTAGAGGGGGAGAATCCCCTCTCCCGACCTGCTGGTCACACTTCTCTTGATGCAGCCCAGGACACGGGTGGCTTTCTGGGCTGCGAGAGCACATTGCTGGCTCATAGTCAGTTTTCCATCCACCAATACCCCCAGGTGCTTCTCCGCAGGGCTGCTCTCAACCCACTCATCGCCCAGCCTGTATCTGTGCCTGGGATTGCCCCCGCCCATGTGCAGGACCTTGCACTTGGCCTTGTTGAACTTCATGAGGTTTGCACAGGCCCACCTCTCAAGCCTGTCAAGGTCCTTCTGGATGGCGTCACTTCCTTCCAGTGTGTCAACTGCACCACACAGTTGGGTGTCACTGGGAAACTTGAATGTTGGATCTCATGATAGTTCTTAAATACGTGATTTGCAGAGGCTTGGGGTGGAATGCCCTGGGTTTGAGTGAGTGGTGGGGTTTTTTGGTGGCAGGGGAGGGGGCTATCGGGGCGGCCCCCTGTGAGAAGCTTCTCGAAGCTCCCCCAGCTCCAAGTCAGCTCCACTTCTGTTTGGGAAATTGAGCCAATCGGCTGTGCCTCTGCGATAACGTATTTAAGAAGGGACGTGGTGACAAGGAGTCGGACTTGTGAGGAGTTGCTGCAGCTGCGTGAACACCAAGGTCAGTGGAGGAACGGAGGAAGAAAGGAGGGGGGAGGTGTGCCGGAGCAGAGACCCCCCTGTATCCTGTGGTGAGATGGCAGGGTGGCCCCCCCTGCCACCCATGAAGATCTACAGTGGAGCAGACGGTGATTTATGGCCTGTGTTTCGCCTGGTTGATCAAGGTGACTGTGCCCGAAACGGCCAGGGTCTTGTGGGAAAAGGTAGCCTCACTGCTGTAATTCAGTGCTGGGAGGATTGCAGCATGCGGGGGAGTCCCACGCCGGAGCAACTCGGGAAGGGCTGCAGCCGTGGGAGAGAATCCAGTTGGAGAAAGTTGGTGGCCCATGATGGAGCAGTGTGGGGAATGCTGCAGCCCATGGGAGGAACTCGTGTCGGAGAAAGTTTGTGGAGGACTGTCTTCTGTGAGAGGGGGACCACGATGGAGCAGGGGGAGAAGATCCAGAAGCTCCCCCCACCGAAGATGGAAGAAGTGGCAGCGCTGACTGCACCCCCCATTCCCTGCTGCTGTGTCACTTGGTGGGGAGGTAGAGATACCAGGAGCAGAGCTGAGCCCGGGAAGAAGGGAGGGGTGGGGGGAAGGTGTTCTCAAGATGTGGCAATGCTTCTCACTTTCCTACTCTGTTAAGTGTTGTTGTTAGTTTCTGTATTAAATGTATGTTCTTTTTTTTTCTTCCCCTAACAAGTCTGCCTTTTGCCCATGACCATAATGGGTGATTTTCCCCTCCCGGTCCTATCTCAAATCACAAGACTGGCTCATTTGTTCCTTCTCATCACTGGAAGAGAAGAGAGGAGTGAGTGGCTGTGTGCTGTTTGGCTGCCGACCAGTCTCAGACCATGACACTTGAGGGAGCACTCACTCCCACTGTCCATGTCACTGACAAAGATGTTAAATAGCACTGGTCCCAACACCGACCCCTGAGGAACAACACTCATCACTGCTCTCCACTTGGACATCAAGCTGGTGACCGTAACTCTTTGAGTGCGACCATCCAGCCAATTCCTTATCCACTGAGTGGTCCATCCATCAAACCCATGTCTCTCCAATTTAGAGACAAGGATGTCTGGTGGGACAGTGTCAAATGCTTTGCACGAGCCCAGGTAGATGACATCAGTTGCTCTTCCCTTATCCACTAATGCTGTAACCCTATTGTAGAAGGCCACCAAGTTTGTCAGGCATGATTTGTCCTTAGTGAAGCCATGTTGGCTGTCACCAATCACCTCCTTTGTTTCCATGTGCCGTAGCATAGTTTCCAGGAGGATTTGCTCCATGATCTTGCTGAGCAGAGAGGTGACACTGGCTGGCCTGAAGTTTCCTGGGTCTTCCTTTTTTCCTTTTTTAAAAATGGGGCTTATGTTTCCCCTTCTCCAGTCAGTGGGAACTTCACCAGACTGCCATGACTTCCCAAATATGATGAATAGTGGCTTAGCCACTTCATCCACCACTTCCCTCAGGACCCACAGAGGCACCTCATCAGGTCCCATGGACTTGTGCACCTTCACATTCCTTAAATGGGCTTGAACCTGATCTTCTCCTACAGTGGGTGGTTCTTCATTCTCCCAGTCCCTGCCTTTGCCTTCTGTGTCTTGGGCAGTGTGGCTGGAGGTCTTTCCAGTGAAGACTGAGCTAACAGAAGTCACTACCTCAGCCTTCTCCATATCCTGGGTAACCAAGTCTCCTGTTTCCTCCTAGAGAGGGCCTACATTTTCCCTAGGCTTCCTTTTATCACTGACATACCTATAGAAGCTTTTCTTGTTGTCCTTGATGTCCCTGGACAGATTCAATTCTATCAGGGCTTTGGCCTTCCTAACCTGACCCCTGGCTGCTTGGACAGTTTCTCTGTATCCCTCCCAAGCCGTGTCCTTGCTTCCACCCTTTGTAGGCTTCCTTGTGTTTGAGCTTGTCCAGGAGCTCCTTGTTCATCCGCGCAGGCCTCCAAGTGGTTTTGACTGACTTGCTCTTTGTTGGGATGCATCACTCCAGAGCTTGGAGGAGGTGATCCCTGAATATTAACCAGCTTCCTTGGGCCCCTCTTCCCTCCAGGGCTTTAGCTCATGTTACTCTGCCAAGCAGATCCCTGAAGAGGCCAAAGTCTGCCCTCCTTAAGACCAGGGCAGTGAGCTTGCTGTCCTAAGGACACTGAATTTATGCAGCTTTAACTCTGCTGGAGACAGATGGAGTGTGTAACGCTCGGAGCGGGGCAGCCGTTCCCCCCCTCTCCAAGATGAACACTGCGCTTAAAGGCAGTGGCAGCAGTGTTTCAAGGGGAAAGTCACCTCCAAAGCCAGCCTGTCCCCTGTGGGTATAAGGGTTTATGCTCTCTGATGCGGTCCTCCCCATGACACAGATGCAATGTGGAAATAACAAGTGGGCGGCTCTTCTGGGCAAGGATTTTCTCTCTCCCTTCACCTGTAAGGATTTAGCGCTCACAGGTAGGTAGAAAGAGGGGCTCAGTAGCTGACAGGACAAGGGTAGTTGGTCAGTTTGGATGGTTGGGTTTGCTTAGGAATGATGAGGTGCTGCAGGGCAGCTGAAAGCCCCTCCACACCCAACCGACAGGACTGTGCAGCAGGGACACTGCTCCCACACGCAGCACTTGTCACCTCCAGCTACCAAAACACACTATGGAAAAAATGACAAGCAGGGTTGGGTCTGCTTTCATCCATCTCACATGCCTTCTCAATTGCTCTCCTCTGCTGCATGACAGGCCTGAGGCCGGGCTGGCAGAAAGGGGGAAGCTGCTTCATCTCCACCTCTGCCCAGGTCACAGCCCCAGGCAGCCAGAAACACCCGTGCAAAAGACTTGTTAAATGTCAGTTTGTTTTCTCCTCTATGAGCTGCCTTGTTGGTTTGTGTCAAGCTGACTGCTGGGAAGACCCTGTAAAACCTGAACCTGTCTCAAAACCAGGTAATGCCTAGCTTAAGCTGCCATCACAAATCCCCCCATGAAGCTTGTGGAAATGCTGAGAGTCACGTGCAATCTGTGGTTTCCCCCCCGCCCCCAAACTGTACGCAGAGATAGAAAGGGGAGAGCAAGTATCCATAAGCAATGAACAGATTTAAACTTCTTTTTGCCCTCTTTTATCCACAGCAATTAATTCTCTTCCACTCTACCAATATGGCTTCTGCATTTATTTTTTTGAAATGGCAATCAGTGAAATCTCTAACCAATGAGGGTTAATGCCACACTGTAACGTCCTCAGTGAACGTGCCCAAAGCAGTGCTGAATGGGGCATCCCCACTCGGGTGCCAAGGCCCTGTGTTGCAGACCAATGGCCCCAACCCCACTGCTTCAGACAACGAGCTACTGTCCCCTCTAACTGCCTGGCCCCAGGGGCTGGCAAAATGACTCGTGTGCCACCGCAGCTGGCGGGTCAGAAGCGGCCGTAGGGTGGTCACTGGTGGCATCGCAGATGGACAGCCTTCCCTTTTCATTCTGGGCCATGGGACGCAAGTGACAACATCGAGGCAGCGCTGCCCCAGCTCTCCAGGTGTCCTGCTGCCCCAGGTGCATCAGGATGGCTGCAGAGTGAGCCCAGGTACCCATGGTGGTGCCCTGAGGCTCTTTTGGGTGAGTACTGACAGCACAAGATAAAGAGGGAGCTTCAAAAATGACCGGTGGGAGACCTTTATCTCACTCTTCCTCTTGCCTCACAGATTTGCGTGTTCTGGCACTCATTGCATTTGTACTTTTGAAGTCCCAGTGGAAGACACTGTATAAAGCCAGAATAGGACAATTTAATCGGCAGAAGTTTTACATCCTTTGCAGGGGACAAAAAAGAAAGACCATAAAGGGAAGATGCAGGAAACTCTGTTACTATGTTTTCACCACATGGTGACAGAGGCAGAGCAGCAGCTCCAGCAATGAAGAAAGGTGCCAGCATGGTCCTGCAATGCCTAGCTGCTAGCTGCCTGCCTCCCCCACAAGAAGGGAATAACGTGCGCAATTTTAAATCACCATAAGCGAATCAAGCCAGACACCATCTGAAAGCAGAGGCCAAAACACACCCTTACATGACCTAGTTAGTCACCAGAACAAAGTGTGAGGAACCACAGCTGAGGTTTCCAGATGCCTGATCTGGTGTCTTTATCACAACCACCTCTTCCTCTGATGCCTCTGGAGGCATACACATTGGTTTCTAGGTTGCTGTTATTACACTTACAGGTAACTTTTGTCATCAAACCAGCTGAGTTTTAGGACTTTTTTCCAGTAACAAAGTTGACACAACCTTGTATACCAGCCCTTGGCAGACCAAGGTGCTCCTGCTCCCCACTTAGGCTCAGGAACCTCACTGCATGACAACCAGGAGAAGCAGTTTTGCAGTAGGCAGGCTTGATAGCGGCTGTATTATTCCCTTCCTCTATTCATCCTGATGGATGGGATGGCAGCACAAGACAAGAATATTATCCCGTTCCCTCAGAATCCATTACCAGGCCCTATTACACAGAAGCAGCTGAAGATGATTATAGTGTATACTTGCATTTCATTAAAGTTACTCTCAGTTCTTTCTCTTCTCTGCGAGGTTAAATTAGAGATTACCTCAATGCAGCACTTATTACAATAATTGTTTATGATACTTGTTTTACCATCTGTCTTTAATGCTGTGTAGTCCCCAGCTGAATATGTAACTTTACACCCAATAACCAAGCAGATGTTATGGGTAATGGCGCACACCGCCGGGGCCCTACAGCACAAGTAACTGTGGTCTCCCAGCCCTTCCCCAAGTCAGCCAGCAGGAATTGCTGTCCGAGAGCCTGTTCGTCATAGCTGCTGAAGATATCAGGCACAAAAACTACCAGCACATTCACTGAAGTCAATGCCACTTCACACCTGAACATGTTGCTTGGTCTCAGCCCTAAGCTTGACTGCCCCGAGGAGCAAAAAATCTTCAGATGCTACACAGCATCAGCAAAGACATTCCAAGACTTATGATCATGAAAATGTCATCCATCAAGAGGAAAATTGTCAAAGATAATAGTCAGGATTTGTAGCAGTAGCAAAATATGAAGAGAAAAGTCTATTGTGACTAGTCCATCTGATATCCCCTACTGCACAGCAGTTATTACGTGGGATCAGAGGGGAGGGGCTCATGCAAACATATGGCAATGACATTTCCCTTATTCTCCTTTCTCCCTCTCCGGGGGAATGTCAGGCATGATGGTCTTGTGGACTGCCAGGAAACAGGACCATGTGGTGCTTTTCGAGATGTGTTAGGGTGTGGTAGGCAAAGAGCTCCTCCACATAGACACAGAAAGGCAGCACGTGGAAGGAGACCATAGCTGCCCTCCTCCCTCCCTTGAAGGAGGGATGCTTCCTTCCAGATGAGAGAAGCTAAGGGAAAATGCAACAGGAGATACAAAGCAATGACTTCATCCATCCCTTCTGTCCATCCCAGCAGCCAGGAGGAAAATGGGAAGCACTAAACAGGTAGTCATGGGAAAGGATATACCTCCTTCACCCTCCCGTGTTCCTGCAGTCAGATAGAGAGGTGCACCAATGTCATTTACCTCTGAGAGAGAACAGTTGAGCTGGAAGATCTGCCCTTCTCCTTCGACCTGCCGCACACAGAGTTTGCACACCAGCTCCAGGGTATTCAGGCTGAACCTTTCCAACGTGAAGGTGCAGTGCAGGTTCCTCTGGCATCCACTCCAGATGTGGTAAAAGGGAATCTCCTGCAGGAGGAAAGCAAAAAAAAGTATAGTCAGGGAGGGATGCGGGACCAGGTCATGGATGCTGTATGACCAGAGACAGTGTGCTCCATGCTACTGTCATTGAAAATGGTCCAGGGAAAAAAAATGTCCACCGGACTGCAGCCTGGCACCTGGAGGTTTTTAAATACCTCTCTGTGTCACTGCATCTCTTTAAGCCTCCCCGCTAGGATCCAATGTGAATGGTTTGTGATGCTCACCTGGTATTTAGCCAGCAGTTTGCTCTTCCAGAGAGAGTGGGCAACGTCATGAATGGACAGGCGGAGGTTGTGGGTGCTTCCCTTAAAATGCAAAGCTTTGGGCTCCTCCAAAAGCTGCCCACCCATCTGCCGCTCAAGCTGGAGGACCTCCTGCAAGCATTGCGATAAAAAGAAGAAAGCGCTCAAGTTTCATCAAGACAGCAAACTGGTTTTCTGATTCTTCAAGATCAACTGCTATAGACGCTGTAACTTGTGTAATACAGAAAAAAATGCACGTGCATTGCATAGAGTTGTGTTTTCCTGCGAAGTGGAACTGCATTAGTAGATCTGGGTATAACCCCATCACCCCCATCATACAGCATCAGCCCAGCAGGGATGCAGGCACCCGTGTCTCCTTTGGGAGCCACAGTGTTATCTGACATGTCCTATAAGTAGAAAGCTTAATTGCATGCTATGATATCAGATGCAAAGACTTTGCATAAAGGCACTGTTTGAATACAGACATATATCAGTCTTCTCCACTGCTCATCAAACTGGACATCTAATGGTAGCTTTACTATTTTGTTTTTGGAAGCTCTTATTTGTGTAGGTCCTGCTGATATGGGACCTCTGCATACGGCTCATCCTTCAGCTTGTGGCCTCCTGGCAAACTGCTCTATGACAGAGTGGTACAGGAGATAACAGATGCCTACGCTGAGACTAACCATCAGGCAGGATGGTATCAAAACAACGCAAGACACTATGACGGAGCATTTTGTACTGAAATATTGATGCTGTAATTAAAAGCTAGCAAGCCAAGGGTCTGGTCATTTTCTGTGGCTAAAAATAAATATATGTCTGTAACTAATGAGACCACAGTGGACCATTGCCTACAAACAGCCTAATTGTAGTCCACATGGAAGCAGCAAGTACAAAGGCACCTACACAAGCCCCATTAGAAACCAGCGCAGCCAGTCATCTCAGTCATAGTTAATTACAAGAGCCAACTAACCAACCAGTCTCACGTGGCCAAGGCAAATCACACACAGAGTGAAAACACTCAAGGAGTATGCAGGCACACGATACCAGGTTGCTACCCCAGGCCAAGTAAAGGAGTGTCTGTTTCAGCTAAGCACAAAACAAGCTACTCTTGATAACGTTCAGGATCTAGTTAGCATACAGGAAAAGCCCCTGTCCCTGGTGAGCCCACCACCTGGCAGATACTGAAGCTAAAATGATGTTAGTTTATCAGCCATTAGAGGAAAAGAAACACAATCAGGGAACCTTTTAGATTAAGGTTATGCCAATGAATCAGTTCCAGCTTCTTTCCTGTGCCCCCTAATTACCTCATCAAGATGTCTAAAAAGCAATCGATATTAATTATCTGATTACCATAGATCTTCATTACGTCCAAATTACCCCCTTGGAAGGGCCAGAAGATGACTTGCAGCACTGCGTGAGCTAATTGCAGATGCCACCTCTCAGGCACACAGGGCACGGGGGCCGAATGCTTGCTCCTGCCCATGCAGTGCTGGCCCTGGGAGCTGCACTACTGTGGGGAAAAACATTGCAGCATGATGCTGCACCATCCCACCCACCTGATCCGGGCATCTAGTTTCAGTATCCCACTTTTGGTAACCACCCTTGGTCACTGTCGCCCCTCTACATGCTCCAACTGGAGGATGCCGAGCAGCCTGTTCTTCTCCCATGCCACTCAGCTAATTAATTCAGAATTAATTTACAGCCATGATTTGTACAGCCCTTCAAACCTGCAGGCTGGCTCTAGCCATACGGCATTTTATTTAGAGCAATGCTGGCTGGAGCCTCTGTGCCCTACTGAGCCAAAATCTGAGCTGCACATTGCTTGCCCCATGCTGAGGTGGCTCCAGCCACCCTCCCCATCGCCTCTCACCCACTCCTGTGAGCCGGGACTTACACCCTTATGCTTTTTTTTCTAAGAGAGGGAGCTGTGTAAGGCATCTCTCCATTCTCAGAGCCACCAGGACAGCCACTACCTATATTTGGAAAGGGCTTCCTCATTAACGGGGCACAGGCAAGCAGCAGTGTTCAGTCTTGCCTTTCTTCATTAGAGGGAAAAATATGCATTAAATAACAGAGAAGATCACATGCCTGTTATGCCTTTTTTTTCCTCTCTTTTGGAGGACGGTTACTATGCAGCACGAGGCAGGTTGGGAGATGCCACCCTGTTACAGCCTGAAATCATTCACTTACCCCTGGCGTGTGAGGCTGCTTAGCCCTGCAACACTGCCACATGCAGCTCAGATACCTCAATGTCAAAGCCATACATGAATAAACAGATGAGAATAAAGCAGCTGGAATTCTTTATAGTTATCATACTATTAATTTCTCTTTTTACAGCAGACTAGTTCGAACGTCCCCCCTCTAAATGCAAAAATCAGTCTTAAAAAAGAAGCCAGTACTCAAGGGCATCACTACCCTCACCCTTCCCCAAAAAGTGCTTTTGTGAGCATCCCATCCAGGTGGCTTGAGACCCTGCGGGGCAGAGTGCAGAGGATGCTGCATGCGTGATCAGCACTGGGCCCACTGCTCCACAGCCCCCAGGAACCCCGCCAAGCTGCTCCCACAATAACTGAGCCCTTACTGATGACAACTCGTTACACTTCGCTATTGTACTGTGGGCACTGGCAGTTCGGCAGTGAGTGTTTACTCTGCATGATGAGAGGGAAAAGCCTGCTGGATAAATACGGCACTGTGTTTTATACCGCAACTGCTTATCTTCCTTTGGTGGCTGTTAGAATACATTCAGCATATGGCACACTTATTCCTAATTGTAAATAATAACAGAATGCATTCGGTTGCCTAGTAAAATAAACACATAATCCCCTGCAAAGGCTCTTTCAAACCTCAGACATCCTAATGTGGGAACACGTCACGCTGCTCTTCCTTCCTCTTGCCATGCCTCGCCCTGAGCAGCCAGCCCCAAGACATCAAGATTGTGCAGCTGCTGCCTCGCTTGCTGCCTACAACTTTCCCACCCTCTTCAAATTACTTTTAAGCTCAGGACCCACTGGCCCAACCCCATCTGCATGCCTTGTCCCGCACAGCCAGAGGCAATTGCCTGGTGAATGCATTCCCTATGGCAATATGGCAGTGCCAAGGACCTGCTCCCAGCATAGCCAGGGCCGCTGTGGTGCCAGCTGTTATGAAAGCACACAGCAAACACCCCACCCATTTTTTCTTTCTACATAACCCTAGTTTGAGTCTACACAACACCATCGCACAGGGCTGGGTTGTACACACTGGTTCATACACACTGGTCCACACTCAACCCTTTAATCTACTACTGGTTTACTTGGTTTTTTTCTTTTATCTTCTCCTTCCCCAGACCTTTAATTTCCAGATAAGTGCAACTGATACAACCGATACATTCTTAAGAGTTTGTGGCCAGCAAGTATGTATGCTTGTCCTCTTGTAAACCGTCAGCTAGTTGGGTCTTGAATCTCATGAGTGTCCTTCCAGTCATGGGATAGATGTGCCAAAAAAGAAGAAAATGAAAATGCATGTACTTTGCTGTAAAAAAAAGCAGTAGGTACGAGTGGGATGCTGGCTGCCTGATTTTGCTCACCTTTTGTCACCAAATTACAAGCTTGCTTTGGGTCCACACACAGTAGGAGCCCAAGGATTGGCCTGCTCCCCTCCCAAACGTTGCCTGCAGATGGTCCCTCCGCGTTGCTCAGTGCTTCTCCTGGTCCCTTCTGCTATCACATCGAATCAGATTAACTTTACCTCAGAACTCTCCCCACAGTCAATTAGAAACAAACCAACAGCTCTTGAGTAACACCTAATTGGATTCCCCCAGCGCTGACTGCATTAGCTGTCTGTCCAAGGCCCCTCCGACTCATTTATTATTACCTCAGGCCTTGAAGAACCCGTGGAAAATTGTATTATGCAGCACAGGCATAAAACCATCAGGACTTTTGAAGCATGATCACTATGAAAGATCCTTTTCACTTTTTTTAAAGAGGAAAAACAAAAGGGAACTCAGACCAGGGAAAATAATTGTTTCTAAAAGCTGATAGCACCAGCGCATTGACAGAGGCCAAGCTCCCAGGCCCTGAACAGGCAAAATCATGCTGAAGTCACGATATGCCTGCTTCAACCTTATACTTTACTGCCTTTCTTATATATATTGAAAGAGTATCCCCCCTCGAAAAGTCCAGGCAGGCAAGCCTTGATATCAGATAGTGTTGGGGAGGAAAACAGAGTGTGCCATTCACAGTGACGGAAGTCGCTGCTCTGACCAACACATACATGTATGTGGGTTTAAATCCCAATAATTCCCACATGGAGCTGAGGAAACAAAAGCATATACAGCACCAGTATGACTCTGTTTAGTCAGCCTTTGAACTTATTTTGTTACAAAGAGATATTTGGGAAGTTGCACTGGTTATGATTAAATTAAAATCCCCACCTTTTAATAACCTCCATTCTTACATGTGCAGTTGGAGCTAAATATTTCACAAGTGCATCTATTATAATTAGCCTCTGTATAAATACATGTGTTTATAAAGAGAAATAGCAAGTATGGTTATCTATCTGCTAATCTGTATGTAGTGAGTGTGTGTTTGTGTGCATGCCAGAATTGCACAGTGAGAGTAAGGTTATATAGTTAGAGCAACAGCTTTGGCTTATTTCAGTTGTGAATTCCCAACACAAAAAGCTGCATGTGAAGAGGTGTAATAAAGCAGTATGAAAGCAGGCAGTGATTAACAGCCCAGAAGATTCTTTTATCATTATCAACTATTTACAAAGAAGCATTTATATGCTTCCTCATCTCTAGGGAGCTGGCACTTAGCATTAAAAATACATGAATAACGAATGAAGCCCCCTGTACCTTATGGCCTTTTAATAATGCAAAAATCCTAGGATTCAGGACATGATACAGGTAAACAAAGGATAAAAGACTGGTGGGTGGAAAATAGCGTGAGATCCCTATGCAAAAGACAATTTATAGTGTGTGGGGGTTAAACTGTAAAACAGCATCTTGCAACAGGCTGCTCTTCTCATCAGAAAAATAACCCAGGGAGCAGGAATACATGGAGCAGAGGGTCTAATCACCACTATGACTGCAGTCCTGTGGGAGCTGGAAAGGGAGAGGGAACGCGAGCGAAAGAGCAACCACCTTAAGGGCATCCTGTGTGTCATCGAGGCAGTAGACCCGGATGCTGTACTCCAGTGAAGAGCAGGACAGGGGTCCAAAGATGGCCAGTTTGAGACGTTTGGCTGCTGCTTTGGTGATTGACTGTCCCACCAAGGCATAGGTGCTGAGGGTTTCTGTCAGGATATGGCAGGCCTCTGGGTCCAGCTGGATATAGCACGGAGTGGTGAAGTTTTCCTCCCCGACCACCACTACATCCTATGGGAGAAAGAGGCCCAGTTAGAGATCCCGACCCCTCAGACCTGGTCTCCTTCAAGACAGAAATGACCCTTTCAGGCCTGCATGATGCACAAAGTTCTTGCTGTTTGAGCCTTAGGTTAATCAAGATTTTAAATTCCTGCTTTTGGCTTTTCTCCTGGGTAGGCACGAGAAGGGGATGATTTCTCTGGGGTGCTGGTGGTGATGGTGCTAGTAGAAACCTCCTCCTGTCCTCACTCTCCTAAGACTTGTAACTCCTCTGGGCCCTGCAGCAGATTTTAAAGCCCTGGGCAGAGTTAAGCAAATAATGAAAATATCACCAATACTTTATTGAAAGAGATATTGCAGAAGTACTCATTTAGTGACCACAATTTAGCATCACTAGTCACAGGTGTGCTGAATAAATAACCACCCTTCACTTCCTAAGCACGATAATAAGGAGTTATAAAAACTCAAGGAAGGGAAGTAACATCTACGATGGCTGAATGCCACATCTACATGAAATATCACCTGCTGCTTTGTCAGAATAGTCCTCCATGATAAAGCTGCAGGGTGAAGAAAAAAAATACATACAGCCCGAATGCAGACAACCTCCCCACCCTGTGCGTAGAGGAAAATGGCCCCCATGCTTATTTCTCCATTCAGCCCTGCATGTAATATCCTGCACGCAACACAAGGTGCTTTGAATGGCTTTGAGAGAGAGCAGAAGTGAAAAGGCAGCAGCGGATGACGGCCGCCTCTTGCAAAGCCACCACACGCCACATGATGCTCAGCGCAGCTCATGTTTCGTCCCCGCTGCCTGCAGGTCTGCAGCACAGTGCACGCATCTGGCAGCTGAGCAGCGTGGGCTCAGCTGAAATTTGGCGTTCATCTCAGGCCCCCCAGTCTTGGAAAAGGCAAGCGTGACTTGTTTTCAGCGGGGGCACAATCCTTTTGGAGGGCAAGGGGCTGATTGCACCTCCCTATGGCCACGCCATCAACGGGCTCTGACAGGAGGTGCTGGTCCCGAGCGATGGTGCAGGGGTGTGAGCGCATGCATGCATGTGTGTGTGTGTGTGTGTGCACGCATGGGGCTCAGCTTGGAGGAGCTGCTCCAGAACTGAGTGGAGGAAGAAGATCGCCGCGTGATGGCCAGGGACCCTGGGGATGCTGCGGAGGCTGCGCTGGCACCAGAGGGTGTGCGCGGCCGGTGGAGCAACCGCGCTGTCAAGGGCAGGAGGAGGATGGGGGGAGAAAATGAAGAGGTGCCAGTGACACACAGACACAAATAAGGAATGTACGTGCGGTGCCAAGAGTCAGGCCGGTGGGGTGCAGATTAGTTGGCGAGACAGACCCGTGTTCGCTGCATGCTCCCTCCCAGCGTGAGGAAGAGCCGGTGCCACAGGCAGGGGGACAAATGAAAGAGACTTTCGAAGGCAATGCCGGACACGGCACTTTTGCTGCTGTCAGCCCAACTCCCTCCAAAAGCCACCCTCACCTTATTAAACCTACCAGTAGGAGAAAGTGCCATTGCCAAATTAATTATGTGAGACCAAACTGGTGGCAGCAGGTATCTAGGAGCACAGGGCTGGAGAGGAGGGCTCTGCCAGGATGGCCCAGCCTGGCCAAAAGCATCACTTTATTCTCCAGTTACAGTGGAAGATCCTTCTGCCACTCTGCCCTGGGACATCCTCCTGCTGCAAGGAACTGCCCCAGGCTCCCACCGAGCCTGCACTGCCCAGCAACGCTTGTGCGGCTCCCCTGAGTTCACAGGGTGCAGACTTGGATCCTGGTTGCGTGAACTGAATCAAAGTGATGCTCCACCAACAACATCTTAGGAGGGAAAAAGAAAAGAAAGATAAAGCCTATCCATCTCATTAAGCTGGGTGATGGCTTGGTGCTGAAGCAGGAGATCATTTGCAGCGTTATTTTCACTTTCTTGAAAACAGACTGAAAACCATGAGAGTGAAAACTATACTGTAAAAATTATTTTCTTATTTCTAGAGTCAAGTTATTTTCAGCCACTGTTTTTTATTTTGCCTTTTTTCTTCCCTCTGTCCCCATAACTTCGGCACAACATCCTGCCACGACCAGAAGCTCAAGTGCCAAAATCCTGAGATGAAGGCTATTTCATGGAAAAAATAGGAGGCACCAAACTGCCCCCAGACAGCGTCTCTGCACGGGCACTGCACAGCCTAGATACCTGGTGTGGAAGGGCACTCCTGCCTGCCCGTGGCAGCCATGCATCTCACACAGAAAACCCAAAATGCAGTCAGCCCTGTTCGGAAAGGCAGCTGAAGGGCTAGCAGAGAGCCCTACACGCGGTGAGTGCACAGGCTGGAGCCTCACCTCCCAGGGCCCCTGGGCAGCCTGGTGCTTCAGCTGGATCTGCCAGTCCTCCGTGTTCGGTTCTGCGCAGTGGTGCATGGTTAAAATGACGGGCCGGGTTAGCAGGGCTCCTGGTGGGCCACAGCTCACCACCGGTGTCAGCAGGGTTTGGCTGTCTTCTACAGGCGGCCTGACACGGGGACAGAAAGATGGATACGTTAAGTGAGTTGAAAAAAGCAAAAAGGTACATACAGGTATATGAAAATAAAAAATCCTTCTCTTCAAACAAAAAGATTGTGCAAGCAAAGAATGGGTGGGTTTGGTTTGTTTGATTTTTTTTTTTCCCCCCAAATCCTCAAATGTTTTTTGTTTTGGTTTATTTGTTGTTTCTTTGTTGTTGTTGTTGCTGGGTTTTGTCCTTTTTTTTTTTTTTTTTTTTTTTCCCATATATCACTCATTTGTCAAAATGCAACTTTAGGTGGCAGTAAGTTACAGACCACACTTGCTGAGCACCCTCCACTCTGAATGACCCTTGTAGACCATATGCAGAGGTTTCATTTCACCCACTGCCAAAATGTGGTCACTGCTGCATTTGGCAGTTGTTTAGCAGCATACAAAATGAACAGTGGCTCTTGTAAGCACCATGTGTGAGAATTATTGAAAAAAAAAGAAAAAAAAAGAAAAAAAAAAAAGAGAAAATTGAAGAACAGAGGAAGAGAACAAACTAATGAGCACATCTGAAAAAGTGGTATACAGCATATCTGAGACATACGGTTTAAGGGCAGACTCATCACCAAACCCACTGATTTTATTTAAAAGGCATTCATATCTACTAGAACGGCTATTGCAAATATGCCTGCAGGGAGCAGGTGTCACCGTCAGCGGGGGAGAAAGGGCGAAGGGATGGAAAGGAACAGTGCAGAGGGCAAAACACACTCACAGAGCCTGAGATTTCTAGTGATAACCTGGAGCTGCTGAATTAAGAAACACGGGTATTACCCAGTGTGCTTGCTGCCAGTCACTAGGAATGGGTGTTATGGGAAATCATATGAATATTTAGGATACATAGCATACACTGTAGTTTGTAAATGATAGAGTGTGTGTGTGGGGGGTGTGTGTGTGTGTGCGCGCACGTGTATGCATGTGTAAGCTATCCCAGACCAACTGCTGAGGAGCTTGAAAACAGAGGAAGCATGAGTGACTTTAACTATCCTGACATCTGGTGTATGACAAATACAGCTGACTGTGCCTCATCAACTGCCTTCCTAAATAATACAGAGGACAAATTCACGATCTAGAAACCAGCAAGCAGGAGATTAAAAGTGTTCGATGTGATCTGCACTTAAACTCCAGATCTGCTCACAGGACCTCCCATCCTCTGGTCTGGCTAAGGGTTCAATCCTTTGCTGCATTTACAAATACTTGTATTTACATCTGCATTTGGTCTTAGGGAAATTATTTGAGACAACATTAAATACTGTTTATTTCTGCAAGTCTTTGTCTTTACCAAAAGAAAGAGCAAAAAAAGTAGCTGTAGTCTTAGTTAACATTTTCAAGGAGACCAAATCAGGACAGAATCTGTTTTGATATCCAATATATTGTACCTATTCTGGCAAAGATATGCCCACAGGGATATCCTAATTTTGTCCACCTTAATTCTTCCTGAATATTCCATTAATCTCACAGAAAAGAAAAGACAAGCTTTTGAGAAATTCCTTTCCAAAGTGGGATGAAGGCACTTTTGAAAAGTATCTCTTGTTGCTACAAATGTTGTGGGAGGTTTTTATAACATTTGGTAAAAAAAAAAAAAAAAAAAAAGGTCCGGCAGGGAAAAATTTAAATCTATGCAAATCAGTAAATCCAGATGATATGCATCTGTGGAAATTAACTGATGAGTTTACTAAATGACTTAACAATTGTTTCTGAAAAGCCGTGGACTGGAAACAAACAGCTGCGATATAGCTGCCTTTCAAAAAAGATGTAAAGTATAACAATCTGGACAGCTATCATGCATTATGCCAGTTATTTTAGCCTAACAAACAGTACACACAAGAAATTAAACACTAGCAGATAGAGTACATAGTCCAGCTCCTCTTGCATGCTGTAGGGATCTCTGGATTCAGATTAAGAAGATCAGGGATCACTCTCTTGCAAGACTGAATTGAGTAAATCAATGGGCAGTTTTAAACTAAAATGTTGCTTCTTTTTTCAGACCCATTTCCTTTTTTTTTTCTCGAGAAGCTTAAAAAACACTCACAGTATGGTGGTGGTTTTTAATGGTCAAGTACCTCATGCATTAATGGATATTTGAACACGTTCCTACAGCATAATTCAAGAAATTTCAAAAAACATTATGTCTTATGAGAAAGATCTTTCAAAATTACAATATTTGTCTGGAAAGCTAGAGATATGACAAGCTATAGATTTAATCATCTGGTTAACCTAACTTCATCTAAAAGACTACTGACCCATGAAGAAGGAAGGAAAAAAATACAAGTTATCATAGTTTTTTGGACCGAATTACAAAACCAGCAGTCAAAAAGAATATAGGAGGGAATATATCATGATTGTCGTAAAATAATTCATGCAGTGCCTTTTAGGTGAAAAATGAGTTAAAATCGACAAGAATCTGAGCACTGATGCGTGCGGTTAAAAAAAGCCAAAAGGTCATTAAAATAATATGGTACTGATAAATCATACAGTCTAAAGTTGTCTCAAAGTAAAATGAAGTTTAGTCACTGCTCCGTGACAAAATTTTGTTGGCTGTTAAATTTTAGGACTCTGATGGAGGGCACGATTCTGCGCCACAGCATTTTATGTCCGATTAGCACAAGTATAAAAAATGATGCAGAACATGAAGTCGGGAGGCACTCCAGACTGCACAGTCAGCAAGTGATATGGGAAGTGGATACAACTATACAAAGGACATGCAAAAAATAGCAAGTCTTGTTATTTTTTCCCCAAGTTGGTAAACAGCATCTTTGTTAACCTGACTTACAAGATTTATTGCCAAGTGGATGAGATATGCATGCTCCTGACCTGAGTATTTATGATACAGGACAGGAGTGAAGAGCAGAAAAATGGGACAGATGCTGGGGTGCTTGACTTTGCAGTCCCAAATTGCCAACCAGATACACATCTGAGTCTGGCACCCCAAAGTTATTGAACACTGTCAGTCCTAGTGAGTCTCCACCATCCACCTCATGCAGATAAACCTTTAAGAACTGAGATATAATGAGTTGCGGAGAAGTTCCCAAGTGGTGTGGAACAGGGGTCAGTGTCACTGCATAGGTGAAATCCCAGCTCTATGGAAGTCCATAATAAACCCCTCTCTGACTACTGTGAGTCTAGGGTTTCTACTCACCGTGTGCAAGACAACGTAAATAGCAACACAATCATTAAATTTATAGATAAAAAATAATAAGGAATTATTGCAAATAACAGTGAGAGCCATGAAATAGTGCGAAAGATCCAGAGAGCATAAAAATATGGATAGGAAATAAAATCCTATTAATCATACCACAGTTCACACTACCTGAGCAAAACAAGTTCCAAACATAGTTATTTAGTAGCAAAGAAAGTAATAAAATTGAAAAATTGAAAAAGATCTCAGGTGAGCTCACTCACCTGAGACACAGCAAGTGTCAACTTGTAATGTGACACAGCGGCAAAAGGTAAATCTGATTTCTGGGGCTGTGTGGGACCAGGCATGTCAGAGCACACTGAGTTGATATTCCCCTCCCTATCCAGCTCTAACGTGACTGCAGGTAGCAGATCCCTTGACAGATCTTTTCTTATTTCTCACTGTTTCCAATTTCCATTTTAAAACAAAAGGATTATGCCTTACTATAGCTAATGAGAACAGAAACAGATGCAGTAGACAAGACATATTATACAAGAGGTATTAATCTTTCTGCTTCAAGGCATAAACCCAACACTAATTGATGGAATTAGTAAACAACAAATTCCCCTGAAGACAAGTTATTGTGTAGTCATTCATTACAAGCAATTTTCTTCCTTCTCCTGGAGCAGGTGATGCAGCACCAGAAAAGCCAGGATCCTGGCCTAGACGAGTGCCTGTTGTGACCGAATACCATGATTTCTGTGTTACAGATCACAGAAGATCCAGCACAAACACAGACACAGAGCAGAAAGATCTATGAGCAGCCATCTTCCAAACTGTGGGTCAGAACCTACTTTTAGGCTGTTATCTAAAAAAGAATGCCAAACCCCAAAAAACCTCATCCACGTGCTTCACCTTAGGCTTGCAGCTGTCTTGGGACAATGTATTTGATGAGACTGGGCACTCAGCTGTATGGCTCTAAAGTCACTTCACTGCAGCCAAAAGAGATGTTTTTGTTTTACAAAGATCTGACCGAGACTAAAATTCAATCACCTGTTTAGCATTGCTTTTAAAAGGCACTAACAGCAATTGAAAGGTCTTCGGATATTTTTAGATGTTGACCCGTCCCGCGCCACTTATCAAGAACAATCAACTTTTATCTAAAAGCAAACAAACTTTTATTCACTATATCTGGCTCCTTCACAATCAAATTTGTGCTTTTAATGGGATTATTCATTCAAAACTGTCTCCCTGTCATAAGGCAGACCCTATTAATTAAGGTAGCTGTCACACAGCAGATGTGAGCACAACTAGAGAAATCTCTGCTCCTCAGTTGGCCTACATTGTGTTCCCTGGCACTGTGTGTAGAGCTTACAGGCAATCACTAGCAGCTCAGGAAGCATAGGATGGAGCAGGGAGAGAGAAATAGCAACAAATGGCAACCCTTCTATGCAGCTTAGCCAAAAGTCAGAGGGAAGACATTTTATTTCTCCTGTCATTGCTGGGGCTTTGTTTTTAATATGTGTTCAAACTTAACATCCTTGTCCAACCCCGGTTCTTCTGCCAGTCTATCTTTAGAAGAAAAAGGATCTGAAAAGTTTTCCTCCCCCTTTGCTCACACTCCGGTCTTTTATATTTTGAATTTTTCAATTATAGTGACTGGCACTTCATGAAATTGTCTACTGGAGTTGCAAAGTAATTTTGTTCATGCAACTGAGATACGGAAGGAAGGTGGAGAAATGAGATGCAGAAGACTTCAATTTCTTTTATTTCACATCACTAAGCTTAGAGTTTGCTGGTGAAAAAGGCAACATTGCTCCTTGGATCAAACTCATTGATCAGCTGCATGACTTTAATATAAAGTCTACACATACACCATGAAGCCACAAATCCAAATCTCAACAAGGCTCACCTGACCCTTCTCTCTTTTAAGGTAGCTAATTTGGAAGTTGCACAATTTATGTGTGTCTTCCATCAAGATCCTCAGGAGCGCTGCCTGCTCCATTCTTCAGGGTTGTCACATTTCGTGGGCACAGCCACATCCACTCTCATTTGCATAATCTCCTGGGTGATGGATTACACAGGAGTGTCCTTCGCTGTGCCATATTTAGTGCATTTCTTGCCTCTGATTAGAGTATGCAAGAGTAGTTCCACCTAAAGCTGTGCAAGCTCGGCAGGGGTTCACGCAGGAACACGGGAACTGCCATACGAGATCAAACCAGTGGTCCATCAAGACCCAGACCTCGTCTAGCACTGACCAGCGCCAGATGTTTCTGAAGGAAGCACACAGCTCCACTAATTTAGCTCACAGCTAAATTTATTTTTTAACTCGAGGCAGTCCACAAAATCCTGAAGGTTGGGGGCTTATATTCATGCTATCTAATCCTTAGTTGTGCAAGACCTGGGCTCTCACGGATGATCCTGGGACGAGGCTTTTGCCTGGTACTGGTCACAGAAATGTGTTTATTTTATAGGTGAAACCACAACTCAAGAAGGGACCCCTTCTTGCAAATCTCAGTCAGTGATACTTCCCCCAGACTGTGGGAGAGAGAATTTCATCACCATTGAACAAGCAAACGAGCTTCAAGACAGAAACTTGTCTGATAGATGTGAAATATTCTCATAGGTGTGTCATTTTTTTCAGTTATAAATATCTACATACACTCATATATACATGGACAAACACACAGACATGTATACATAGATAGCGTTTTCCCCACTGTAGCCACTTCATAAAGCACATGGACCTTTCCATGAGGTCAACATGACAGCCAGGGATCAGAGCCCAGTAGCTGCTTGCCATCCATCCTGCCCTGAATGACAGGCAGAATGAAGATGGACTTGCAGTGCAGGAGCAGGAAAAACAGCCTGCTGGTGTATTCATCTAGAAAACGAGAAAACCCGCTGTGCCATAAGTACACTAACACACTTAAGAGAAAACAACTTCCTCCAAGTGGTGTTTATTGCAAGCCATCAGAACCCCAATTCGCCGCAGAAGGATAATGCTTTTAGGGTGACCCTCCTGCTCTCACATGCTTTGATGGATATGAAATGGAATAAACTGCGTCTCAGAAAGCTCTCCTAACCAATCTGCAAGGCAACACAAAGAGTGATATTACTGGGTTATGAAGTCTCTCAAATGTCTCTACTACAGGTTTCAGAGACTAACTGGGAAAATGTATCAAGAAAACACAGGAAGGCAGGACTCCCAAGGGCTAACAGATTTCCTGTTTCAGCTTGACTGTTCAGAAGTTGTTTCATATTTCTACAAAGAAAGTGTGAGCTAAATCTTAAGTTGCTGGAGATACATGAGCTGTGATGGTCTGCCTCTCTGTTGCTGCACTGGTTCTATTTAGGGTAGTGCTATAGGGACCACATTTTCGCCTCAGTGGTGGTTGTAGGTCAAGAAAAAGAGCCTGCCTTCATTTCTGATTTTAACACCCATTTTATAGTTTCCTATATGTCCCCTTCCAAACTACATCAACACATGACAGGACTATTCAACCCATGCACATTTTCACAGTGCTCATGAAAATAAATACAGGGTGTCACAGGCTTTATTGAACACACTCCAGTTACCTCTTGGCCACAGAAGCAAATGTCTGCAGATAGTCCTTACTGTGGACTATCACTCTCTGCTGGAATGCTGTAAGAGTGCAGCAGCAGATTTAAAAAATAATAACACTGCACACTAACTTGTGGTACCTATATGACTCCAATTACATGAAGCAACATCTGTGGCCCATGCAGTCAGAAAAAGAGGCTTTGACCAAGCTGCAGCTCTGCTACAGCAAGTGAAGTGTCTGGAAACACAGTCCTGCAGCAGGAGACCATTCCAGCTGGGTGCCACCCCCCCATTATGCACCTGGGCACCTGGGGAAAGGGAGCAGGTAACAGGAGAGGATGTTAGAATCATGCAGTATTTGAAGCCCTTTTCAGGGAATATTCAGTTCCACATGACCTAGACAACACCCAACAAGATCCATTTTAAATGTCCTAGAAGTGGTTGGTTTCCATGAATGTGAAAAGCCTGGCAGGCTGGAGGTGGGCTGAAAATTTGCCGTAATAAAATGTGCACCCAAAAATCAATTACCACCACGATAGGATGAGCCCAGCTGCCCCATGGCTGAGGCAGCCTTCTCTCTGCTCTCCTCTTCAGGGGAAAGAAATCACTTCTCATAGTCTTCATTGCAAGTGAGGATTCGCACCTTTCCGTTCACTTCTGCCGGCGTACTTCAGCACACTTGCTCAGTTTGGCAGATGACACAGCTCCAACCATGCTTTTCCCAATACAGGTTAACCTATCCTTCTACCCCCTGGGTGACCTGCTGAGTAACAGCTATCGCAAAGCACACAGAGGAGGCTTTATGACCCTTGAAGAAAAGAAATCAAACTAGGATGTGACATTGGTTGTCCACAGCTGCATGTATAAGGAGGGAGGGACTCCCTCCATGACTGGATGGAAAGAAAATAATTGCACGTATAGCTCCTCCTAGGAATGAAATAAAATTTTTTTAGAAGAATTGGATATTTTAAAAAGGGAGATTTGGAGGCAAGTTGAGTAACAGGGGATGCTCTCTGACTTTAATTTTTTTCCTTCAGCAGGAGAGTCCTTTTTCAACACTGTTTGTAAATGTCTTCAAAACACAGCCAAAAGTAATAGGAATACAATCAATACTAGATATGAACAGAGGCACTTTTTTCTATAGACGCAATTAGCTACTTTCTAAGAGCAGGCCATGAATAATGTATGCAAAAGGGTGTGTGTGTGGGTTACTTATTTTTTCTTTAAGCAGATTATTTTAGCATGGGTGAAAGACTACCAAACCAAAGAATAGTGTTCAATATCACGCAGTGTATAAACAGCTGTGGCTTAGCACATAGTAAAAGCCATTAAGGGGCTGAGCCAAAAAACGTGTCTAGCTATGAGGAGGGGAAAAAGGCAAAGTACCGTGTAATGATTGCTTAGATTCACATTTGTCATTCAGCCTTTGTGCATATGAGTCCATTCTGTGGACTAAGATCTTGCCTTTCTCTTCATTAGGTTTTCCTAAACTGCTTCTAACAGTATGTTGGTCTTTTCGGAGTCTCTTTTTTTTTTTTATGCCAAGGCTGTCAGGTCATTCAGTAGGCAGTAAGATGTAGAATATGAATTGGCTACACATGCAGATAATAGGTGAGAACAACAGGAGTCATCCCAACATTGGCTCTGGGTGGCCCTTGGTGTAAAGTACTTGGGGCTAAGCAGGACAACTACATGCTAACTTCCCCCTCAGAGCAAGGTGGTGTGGAGGACACCAAAAGCTTTGGCTCCATTCTTTTCACTGCCTGGACTCACCAAGCCCATGAAAGGTAAAATAAAAATTCACCTTTGCTATAACAGGAGAGGAGATTCTCCAAGCCGGGTGCTCAGGCACCTGTCCCTCAGCTGAGCTGATTTGTCACCTTGCTCCTCCGCTCCCTTGTCCTTTGCAGCACGGGTCTTTAAGAGGTTACCTCACACCTTCTCTGCTGCACCAAACACACACTGCCACATTTTCCTTGCTTCTGGTTATGATATAGCATCCCCCAACCTGAGGACGTGCCATAGAGTGCAACTCTTGGTTAGAAAAGCAAAAGTCGGAGCTAGTTCTGTGGCAAAGTTTATCCTTGGCTTTGCTCACGTTTACCTCCAAGTCAGCAAATAGCTTCAACGCAGTAGGCTTTGCATAAGCACATTACCACACGTCTTTAGTTACTACATTTGTCCCCTCTGTTAATGCACAAGCAAATAAAGGCAGTTTTTTACCTCATGTTCTCCTTCCTGTGAACTGTCACATACATTTCATAGACTCTCCCTTGTGGAACGGCCCCTGCTGGGATCAGCAAGCTTACTCCTGCAGAACAGAAGAGACACAAAAGATAAAATTAATAAAACAGAGGTAAATGAGCCTGTGGAGAGGAGTGACAGGAGAGGAAGATGAAGCCTACGATGTTAGATTTTCACCCAACCTCACTAGCAGACTTTACTTGACCCCAGCAACTCATGAGAAAAAGTATATACTGTAACCTGGGCATCTCTGGTGATCAGCTGGCTTGTTCTTATTCCTTTTGTGTGTCAGCACTGAAATACAGGAGTGGAGAAGAGGATTTTCTTCCCTTTTATTTTACTTAGAGACCAGACAGATGGTTATGCTGCTGCTTACCTTGTAAAATGATGGAAGAACTCTGACTAATGAACAACTCTGACTAAAATTTCCAACAGCTGTAATGGGACATCTCTCCCTAGGCAATTCTTACTTAATTAAAAGCAGGAAAGAAAGGCAGTGGAGCACTGTCCTAGGAAGCAACAAGAAGTAGTTGTTTCCTGAAAGATGGCTTCTGTGACTGGCATCCTGTCTTTTAATGCACTCGACTTCTAATTAGACTACCAGGGAGACAAAATTGGGTTTCTTGGTATTTTGAATGTGCCTAGTCCTGTAAAGAGGCTCAAAATTCGAGTATCCAACCTTGAAAAAAATGTGGATAAATATGCTCAATGCTCTTTTCAGTGGTGATTAGTTGCACTCTTTGTTACAAAACATTGTTCTTACAGTACTGCCATTTCAGAAATGTCCTGTCGTTACGTGACAAACACGGCACACGAACCAGCTATTTCACTCTGCTGGACACGTCTCAGACAGCTGTCTTTGCAGATGTGAATTAACTGGGAATCAGTGGCAAGGATTTTAATACAGTTATTAATATATAGCTGAAAACAAACCTACAGGCAGATTATTTACATATATGCATATGCACAAGTGAGGCTTTACAGAAACCTTGCAAGGCCCTATTTATTTTCTTTAGCATACGTGGTTTGGTTATGCTGGACACTTCCCATACATTGGTGTATGGGGGCTCAGTCCCATACCTGGCTTTGAAGGGGAGTGGTTAGCTAGGAAAGCATTTTCCGAGAATGTCTTCTGATACTTGTTTCTTTACAGGTCTCTCACAACCTCACCTGTGCATGTTCTCAGCTGTTACAGGACAGGCATAGCACAAATGAAGGGCTTTGATCATATTACTAGGAGGACATACATCTAGAAGCAGCATGGAGGCATACACAGTAGCAGTAGATGCATTTTACAAAACTTACTTTAATCATTTTGAAGGGATTAGAGCAATAAGTAACCTTTTTTTTACATACATCTAGAAGCAGCATGGAGGCATACACAGTAGCAGTAGATGTATTTTACAAAACTTACTTTAATCATTTTGAAGGGATTAGAGCAATAAGTAACCTTTTTTTTTTTTTTTTCTTTACAAATTCATATTCATATAAGTGAATTAAATGTGACAAATTTGACTTTGCTGACAATGTGCACCACCATGGCATAAGAAACCTGAGTATTAATATCTACCTTCAGCTGCTACTTAGGGAAATGTGAAATCCAGGATTGTATAGCATGAATTTTCAACATTGGTCAGCAGTCAGCACCAGATTTCTTTAAGTAATAGTCCAGCTTTCACTTAAATTTTATAGCTATTTTTGTTTCCTATTCCACAGTAGCTCAGAGAGGAAGGCTACTGGTCACTGACCACTTTTGGCTGCTTCCAGGGAAGTTGGGGGCTGCATCCTGGAAGGACCAAATCTCACAGGCTCCGGGCCACCTAGGTATTTTGGTTTCTCCATAACATCAACAAACAAAAAAAGATCCAGCAAAGGAACAGGAGGCAATGGTAGGCACTACCTCCTCAGGCAGGGCACTGTGCTGTAAAATGGCCAAGGGCCGACCACATAATGTAAAAGAGGAAGGCAGAAATGCTGTGAAACCTTAAGCTATCACATCAGGTAGTGGTGAGCTCTTGCCTCACATTTACCATGGCCCTACCTGGACACAGAGCTCCAGAGAAACCGGGCAGGGGTACTCCTCACCACTGTATAGCCTGCATATCCCCCACATTCAGTGTTTTACACATTTGATTTGACCCCACTTTAAATGTTATTGTTGCTCTTCATTAGCATGCCAAACCCACAGGGAACATCTAGTTGCTCAAACTCCTCTGAACATCAACACTTCATTTAGGAAACAAACAGCAGTATGGCTCTCCTAAAAGACTGGGCCATGAGAGCTGAGCTCTCCCAAGGCTGCCCAGGAGCTCCCTGGATGTTCTGAAACTGCCTCCTGGTGCCTGGGTGGCTTGGAAGGGGCCTGGCAGCCTGGCCTCACACCATATGAGAAAGACTGAGCAGCACTTTGCAATTACATCAAAAGGCACTCACTGCTCAGTTCCCCTCTTTCCTAGTCGTAACACAAGTCAACAGTATTTATAACAAGGAAAGATATATAGAGAAGACACTCTTGGGCCTTATTTTCCTTGGGTATGCAATGCATACAGGAAAAAAGCCCTCCAAAAATTAGTATTCTGCTGTCCTACCTCAATACCACACAGTCTGCAATGAATTGGAAGTGGAACAACCGATTTGTTTTTTAATTAATTTGTTCTTTTTATGTGTGATGACAAGATTGAGGCTTTCTGGCTTGGAGTCCCTTTTCTAGAGCTGCATGAAAGGAAAAGGTCAAGGATGCTGAATCTCATTTCACACAGGGAAGCTCTGAAGCCTCACATGTCTCAGAGAGCTGCTAAGAGCCCTGCAATATTATTTTAAAAAGGTGGCCAGGACTTTGGGTAAAGAATACCTGAAGAACCTTGGTAGACCTGAATGGGGGGGGGGAAAGAAAAACATCTGTTTTTTCTGAACAAAGGCAAGGCAGAGTCCCAGGAGTGACCCTGCTTTTTCATGCATAAAAGAAAGCTAACTCCACTTGAAAATACAAAACAACTGAGCCTTTAAGCTAACATGGCTAACACTTACCTGAATTGGGAATTACTAGGTGACCTCCTAAAGAGTTGAAGGTCCCAAATGCAGTGCACGACGGGTCTGTTTGCCGAGCAAGGCTCTGGTTTTTCATGTTCAGAGTCTCATTCTCCAGCAGAGACTGTGTAATCTGGGGGGACAGCTTGGAGGAGAAGTCAGAGAGGTCATCTTGGGGAGTGACTGCGCCAGAGGTGTTATAAACCTTGATTTTCAGGTTGGGCAGCGGGTCCAGGATTGGAGAATTGGTCATTGGGATTTTATCAGAGACATCATGCAAGGCATAAACAGGACCCCTGTACATGGCTGCAGCAGAAGTGAGGTCTGGTGGTACTGCCAGGAGGTCTGCATTGGAGATGAAAAGGGAGAACTGTATTACTTCCCTGTTCTGATGACTTTCTTCTGGGTCATGATTCAGGTTTGCATTCTGCATTTTGCATTCACACCAAATGTTAAAATATGCAAAGTCTTTGCACACTGACCTTGGTCTCCTTTTCCATGCAACTCTCCAGCAAACTCCCGGGGCTTGCATTGCCCCAGCCTCTGTGGAATCTAATGATCATATAAAATTACAGCATGTTTCTGCTCTAAGGATTTTTCACTGGGATTATTTTCCCAGGCTGCACTCAGATTTTCAGTGTGACATGCTTAGCTTCAGGGCAAGAGGTTTTCCATACTCAGTAGATCTAGTTTTATTAACTAATAGCCCCTTCCTAAATTCCAAGTGAGAATCATTAACCAATTTATCTTATTGGCCTAACGATAGCATTCCTGAAATAAAAGACAAAGCAAAACTATGAAGTTATTGTGTCCATGACTCTCTGTGGAGGGAGATTAGTACCTGCATTACACTTTTTGCATATTTCTTTTAAAAGTATCCCTAACAAAGAAAATTACACATCTGCTAATATTCCCCGTGACAATTCTCTTATCACCTCAACTCTTACTTTGATTTATTCTTTTTACACACATATTGGGAAAAAAGGGGAACTCTACAGCCTAAGTACAGGTCTTGAAAAAGGCAGCACTAACTTTAGAGTGTTTTTTTTCTTGCCAATGAAGTGTGGAAATAATCAACCTGTTACGCACCAGTGATAAAAATGCTCATTATTAAATGATGTTCTACTGCAAGTTCTTCTTCTACTTTGTCTATTTAAAGTACAGTACTTCTTAAGCTACTATTTATGTCTGTGGAAGACAGGGCATAGTAAAAAAGGCTATTAGTGAAACAAAGGGGAGGAAGATGTGATAGAATTACTGTACTGTAATATCACTCCTGTGATGAATCCTGCCTCCATTGTTTCTGACAGAGCTTTGCCTTTGATTTAAATTTGAGCTGGACCTGTATTTCCATAAATGTCTCTGTGTTTCACTCTTGCATTCATGCTCTCTCTTCAGAAGTTAAATTCCTCTGCTTTATGCTCTCGAGCACATTTGAGAAATGCCAACGTGGGTTTTGAGCACTTGACCATCAGAAAGAAATGGATATAATCTTTCTCCCCTTTATGAAGTGCCAACAAGCGTTCAGTGAATATCATTCATGCAGCCCAAGAGACCATAACCTTATAGCATCTCCCTGAATTGGTCAACATGGAGTGAAATGACAACTAACCTTGCCTTGCAGCCTTGATGTTAACAGGCTGAAATCCCCCATTTAGCGCTGAGGAGTCAATAATATCTGACTCAAAGTCACGGTGGTTCTTACGATAGACAAACAGGGCCACAACCACGGAAATAGCCAGGCACACGATCACGGCTATGACGATCCCAACGTAGAGAGCAACATCATCCGAGTCAGGAGCAGCTAGAGAGAGAGAGGCCAGGAACCTTGAAGAAATGTGCTCCCCATAGGGACGTTCAAGAAAACACATTCTTATTATTCTCGTTTCCTGCAGATATTTACTACCTTTTTTATAGGTTAATTTAAAATCCATTTCCAAAGCTATATAACAGGTCTATACCCTTTTGATGGAAAATGATCTTTGATTTCTCTCTAACTTGTGTTCTAACTCTTTCCCTATCGACTCGTTCATCTATCTAGTACCCAGACTGTGAATTACTAAGCATAACACACGTTATAGACTTAGTCTCATGAAGCAAACTCACCCTATGAAATGAAATAGTATATCTTAGTGACATAGTGTAATAATATTGGTATTTAGTGGTTCGTCTGGTAACAAAAAAAAAATGTTGTGGATTTTTGAACTTCAGAAGCCTTATTTTTTAATTTTAAAAAAGTCAAAAACCCCCAAATGCCCACTTCCTATGGAATACCTGGAATATCAGCATATATCTTTGAGTTTGCTTTTTATGAACTGCAATGTGTCAAGCCATTTTTCCCTTCCTTGCATTTCCATTTAAAAAAAATAAACAAGCGAAGCAGAGAATCAAACACTGAATTCTCATCACTGACATTAACACATACGTATTTGGATAAAAGCGGAAGCAAGCACAAGAAATAATGTGGTAATTTACCAAAAGGAACCCAGATTTATTAGAGCTGTCTTGTGAGAAAATGGCTATGATATTTCTACTAGCTGCTTATACCGTATCTTCTGAACTAATTCCAGGCTAATCTCTAGCATCATTATCCATTAGACATTTTTTTTCCAAAAGGTCTTATGATCAAAATCTGATGTGTTTCTATACATTGAAGAATCCCAGTTTTAGCGATAGCGTAATGAAAAAAGAAAGTGCAAAACCAAATCAGACTTTTTTAGTACCCCATTTTTGTTAGTTTGAAACATGTGAAATCATTTTTATTTCATTTTTTTTTTGCTCCCAGCCTTCTAGCCATTTAAGCCAGGCTGCCCTCCAGCCACAGAGGTGGAAGCTGGCAGATGTTGAAGGGGACTGATCAGTCTCTGTAAGCTCCTAGCTATCAGACCTTCAACGTACCAGCCTTGAAACACCACAATTTTTCTCCCCAGCAGTTCAGGAAGCAGATCCCCGAGTTCCAGCTCAAAGATGAGTTATCCCTCCACCACATTTCTTCCATTTGCTAAGGAAATTTTAATGAGAAGAGGGTTCATTCTCTCCAGTTTCTGTCTCCGAGGCAGCATCTTCTCCCATTTCCCTTGTGCATAAGGGCCGTTATCATTCTGTGCCAACCCGCTGACAGCAAAACTCTGAGAGTGCTGTCACGCAAGCAGCATGCCACTTACTCTGCCGAATAGGTTCCTCTTTGCCTAGTCACTCAGAGCTGGCATAACAGTAAAGCTTGACCCAAGGAACAGCATCAAATTAGCATCCAGGAATGTAAAATCAAACATTAAACTTACAAGAAAATCCATATTCATTCTGGGTTCTCTGTTCAGTTGAAATAGGATAAATGAAACCTTAAAAAGAAAGAAATTAAACAAAAATGGGAACAAAATCAAATTAATGAGGAGAACAAAAAAGGGAAGCATGAAAAATGGTTTAATTAAAAAAAAAAAAAGAAGGAAAGGAAACTGATGGCACTTTAAAATTCCGATACAGCACAGAATTATGATTTTTGCATCCCCTGTCTCCTCCAAAGCCTTACTAAGAATTAATAAGCAGGCAGATTGAATTTCTAAGCCAAAATCGGTCTCGAGTCACTAACTTTGGAGTGCTTAAAGTCTTTCTTTTATTGAGCATAAACTCTAATGGATCTAATTTATTTCAGACATCAAGGGTCATTAGCATATGGAAAGTCTTTTTTCCCTATCCCTGCCATATGCTTTAATTCCCAGGACATGTTCGGTGAGGCTCTAAACAGTTTTTTTATTTAATTATAGTAGCTTGCTGTTGATCTAATAGAGCTAAAGGAGACCTGTCGTCACTGGTCAGAGGTTAAATACCCATTCGCTGAGCAGAGTCCATGCACAAAGCCCTCTCTCTGTACTTCCCTGGAATTATTTTATCCTGTCTTTAATACATGTTCAATAGGAATTCCTCAGGGAGCGAAGATTTTGTCAGCAAACGAGAAACTGAGTGGCTTCTCTTCGAAATTATTATAAAATCAATAAGGCCCCTGGGGTTATAACATTATTTATTTGAAATCTTTGCAAGCACTGTATATTGACAAAATCGTAACACAATTTACAGCTGTATTTCATAACAGATAAATAAGAGAGATCGTTTCTTTTGTCTTTTCTTTCTGCAGCTTCTACAGCACGGCACGCTGGAGCTGCTTAGCTCGCACACGAGACCTGTGAACTTGCTAAGCACCTCCCAGCTGCTTTCCATCCATACGGGAAACAAGTGAAATGCTCCAAGTCCCATCTTGCTGGAAAGGTAAATGACAAATCCAAAGTAAGTAGGGGAGTCGCTGTCAGGAACCGGATTAGAGTCAGTGATAAGACAGAAGGTACCTCTCCTCCATCACCTTCCCTTTGGTGTTTTGAAGGGAATTTCACCCCCTCTCCTTGGATTGTACTGCAAGGAGCTCGCACAGCCGGGGACTCCCTGCAGGTGAAACAAAACTGGAAAATGCACTCCTGGCGTGTGCCTAATGCATACGACCACATTACAGGCAGACCAGAGTAATAATCCCCAGCTCCCAGAAATGCCGAGTTTGGGTGCGTGGCATCTGTTGTGCTTTACATAGCTCTTCCTGCTTGGCTGCACTGCTTGCTAATGAAGATATCGTCTATCCCAGTCACAGGTATAGACATACAACCCCCCGAAGTCTCCAGACATTAACTGTTGTGTAAATGCTACCTTAACTGAAGTACCAGATGTATTGTGTTTGTGGTGCAAGGTTTTGGTAGTGGGGGGCCTACAGAGGTAGCTGCTGTGAGAAGCTGTTAGAAGCTTCCCCCGTGTCCAACAGAGCCAATGCCAGCCAGCTCCAAGATGGACCTGCTGCTGAGCAAGGCCGAGGCCATCAGCGATGGTGGTAGCACCTCTGGGATGACTTTTAAGAAGAGGGGAAGAAAATTCCCAAACTGCGCAACAGCAATTGCAGCTGAAGAGAGGAGTGGGAATATGAGAGAAGCAACTGCAGACTCCAAAGTCAGTGAAGAAGGAAGGGCAGGAGGTGCTCCAGGTGCTGGGGCAGAGATTCCCCTGCAACCTGTGATGAAGACCACGGCGAGGCAGGCTGTGCCCCTGCAGCCCATGGAGGTCCATGGTGGAGCAGATCTCCACCTGCAGCCCATGGAGGACCCCACGCTGGAGCAGGTGGATGAATGTGAAGGAGGCTGTGACCCTGTGGGAAGCCCACACTGGAGCGGGCTTCTGGCAGGACCTGTGACCCCATGGGGGACCCGTGCTCGTACAGTCTTTTCTTGAAGGACCCGTGGAAGGGACCCACGCTGGAGTAGTTCGTGAAGAACTGCAGCCTGTGGGAAGGACTCATGCTGGAGAAGTTAATGGAGGACTGTCTCGAATGCGAGGGACCCCACGCTGGAGCAGGGAAAGAGTGTGAGGAGTCCTCCCCTCCTGAGGAAGAAGGAGCAGTAGAGATAATGTGCAATGAACTGACTGCAACTCCCCATTCCCCGTCACCCTGTGCCACTGGCGGGGAGGAGGTAGAGAAAATCCTGAGTAAAGTTAGGGGTAGGGGCAATGTGTTTTAAGATTTGGTTTTATTTCTCATTATCCTACCCTGATTTGATTGGTAATAAATTAAATTAATTTTTTCCCCAAGTTGAGTCTGTTTTGCCTGTGATGGTAATTGGTGAGTGATCTCCATGGTATTTTTTCTCCTCTGCCCAGCTGAGAAGGGGGAGTGATAGAGAGTCTTTGGTGGGCACCTGACATCCAGCCAGGATCAACCCACCACACCAGAGCAAGAAGAACTGCTTTTTGATGATTTATTTTTTCTGAGGCATCATGGGACAGACTATAATGCCCGTAATATCTATTTAAAACTTTATTTCACAGCAATGATTTCAGCCTTATAATTGCTTTTAGAAATATTATGTTCTTACGTTCGTTTGATTCTTTAAGGCAAGTACACCTATATGTACTCTCAACATGCATACTCTATCTTTTGTAATCACTGCTTCCTACTTCTACTAGTGTACTCCAGGTATTGGTTATAAAAAGTCAGGCAAGCAACTCCTGAGGGCTTGAGTAAGTGCTCAGCAAGTTCGGGCATGAATTTACAGTACCCTAGTTACACCCCACTTACTCCCCAGATGAATGCTGAGGCCCATATTTAGCCAACCTCAATTTCAGTTACAGCCTTATGCCCAATATTTCCTCTGGCAAGATGTCTCTGGAGACCAAGAGGCAGCCAGCAGGAAATACAAGGCACAAGGACAAGGTGGAATTTAAGCTGGCTGCATCTCCAAATGCCTTTTTGCCTCATACTCAAATCCACTGGGAAAGCTGAGGACGCCTCCTTGCACTTCATGTGCCCTAGTATGTTCTTGGGGGAGCCAGCACGGGCAGCACGTGTCCCCCAGCTCTGCATTACCTACGGAGCTCGAGTTCACCCACGCAGAGCCAGAAAGGATATTCCTCTCTCCTTGTGTTGCATTTCAGCTGGTAAGTCTTGCATTCAAAGTTGTGTATCATTCCTGTCACATCTAGCATCTGACACTCAATGGGCACAAAGGACTGGATTAGTTGTTATTGAAACTGTTCCTGCTAAAATGGAAATCCAAACTGAAGTCTTTTCAGCAAAATAAACAAGGGTGATCCTCAAATACTCTAAAAGAAATTTACCTCATTGCAAATTCTTCATAGACCTTGTTTGTAACAAATACTTATTTGCATCTTACAAGTTTGCATAGATAACTATAACTGATAGCTACAGCGAGCATCCTTGCAACTACATAAGAATGACATGAATTTCTTAAACAGAAATGTTTTGTGTATATATTCAAAGGCATGTCTATTAAAATGGGAGGATGAGCCAAGGATACTGCTTGCTTCTTCCATTAGCCTCACAAACCAACATGCTTAGTAATAGACTCATGAGCTTGATTTTATCCTCCTTTGTGTTCTGCAAACAGAACCAAGCACTCAACTTCATGCAACTGTCTCTGTGTGTCATGGTTCAGTGTTGTGGCTTAACCTCAGTCTGCAACTAAGCACCACACTGCCACTCGTTCACTCCCTCCTGGAGTGAACCCCATACTAGCTACTATTAAGAAAAATAACTCTACACCAGCCAAAACCAGCACAACATGCAAACATAGCCTGGCTTGCACAAGTGTCTGCGAGAATACATTTTCAGCCTGAAAAACATTGTGTTATTTACCTAGAAGGAAGGCATGTCTGAAGTGGAAGGGTTAAGGACTGCCGAGTGAGATGCCATGCATTTGAGTCACGGTCATGCCAATTTTTTGCTGAGGGTCAAAAAAGAATCACAGCTGACCAACCTGGCTGTAGGTGGATAGGTGGCCACTCGTGCTGGCTGTAAAGCCCTTGTTGAGGTGACGGCACTACGCAAGCCATGCTGTGGTGCTCGTACAACCCTGTTCGCTGCCTTCCCTGGCTGATGGTAGCAGAGACCTTACGTTGGGTTGACTTTCAGCATCCCAGCCAAGCTGGCAACTCCAGCTGTTAGCTGGTCAAGCACCATCTCCATTTGCACTTGCAAATTAAGCACATTTGTCAGAGATCGCTCAAACATGGCAACTACAGACACTTTCTGTCATTTGTGCAGGACTTTTTAGAATAAAACTACTTTTAAACACTCTTTTGTCATGCAAGCACTCTTCCAAAAAAGAGTGGGCATTGCAGTGGCAGCAGAAAGGGGAAGGCTTGTAGCCATACACTGGTGGTGGTGCCTGGGCGGGAGGTAGGGCTCTTGCCATGCTCCCAGCACAAGAGCACAGGTATTGCTTTAGAAAGTTGGCTTTCACACTAGTCCCTCTGACTATACCTTCAAACAATGAGAAAGGAAGTTTTCATCAGATACTGATGTAAACCTGTTGGGATTAGAAACTGGAATAATAAAGAATGACTTCCCTCCTCTCTTCAAAGTAACTGCAGTGAAATTAGATCTTTTCCTTGTGTGTTTTGGTTTTGTTCTTTTTTTTTTTTTTTTCCTCCTTGTATCAACAGCACTGCTTGGCAAGTACCTGAGGGACTTCTACCAGGATCAGCAAAACTTTTAATAAGGGTGAATTTAGAAAGGTGCTGGTGGGTTTGACTCTGGGAAGGCTGCTGACTCACACTCAAAGCAGCTGGTTTCACAGTGAGCTACTTGCTTTGAGAAAAGTAATTTAAGCTTCTTCCTCCAGCTTGTTGGGAAATGTACCTTTTCAAAACAGCTTTTGATGTTTTGTTGTGTAACTTAATGCTGGATGAGTAAAATAGTAATAATCACACTTTACACTTACATAGTCCCTCTTGTTTGAGGCTCTCAGAGGCTTACCAAAAGTGGATATTTGTTTTCCTTATTTTACAAGGA